TGTCTCCATTAGGAAAATAGATTGTTGAATTTTTATTTGTATTTTTTTACTAGTTTTTTTTTTTTAATTTTTGCACGAAAAGTGAACGTTCAACACAGGACAAGTTTCTTGGAAAATCGCGCGCGAGAAAAACAAATGGGTGACCATCGATGCGACATTTCTGTTGTCTATACCCATAGACAATGAGCATAGCTTCCGGCCAAGGAGCGTGTGAGAGACAGTAATCTCAGTTCATTAAATACAAGACTCTTATTTATTTATTTATTTATTCATTTATTTATTTATTTATTTATTTATTTATTTACAAACTTCGCCAAAAAGCCTGGAACGTAATTTCTCTTCCATGGTTACCAGTGCCACAAAAAAATGTCTATATGATATAAGAAGATGCACAAAGACAACGAAAACTTGCAGCCTAATGGGAAATATCAGTTGCAGAGGAGGAGGCGAGTAAAATAACGTCCACGTGTCTCCCTTCCGAGGACGTCCCATTCTTACTAGTACCCTGTATTTTTCATATGTCAACATTTTGAAGCCTTTTGTCATCTGTCACTGTACATTAATGTAATTGTTTTGTTTTTAAGAAAGATCAGAATAAGAAAAAAAAAATAGAATCTTGCCGCAATCTTTTAACGGTATTTTTCCATTATTTTTGCGTGTCCAAGTTACTGACGGACGCACTACACTGATTTTCGTGATCGTTAACTTAAACTAGAAACCGTTTACTTATACGCTCACTTATATTTTTAGGCTCTTCACTTTCCCAATCCCGAATAATCTTATATTAAAATACTTTCAAAACTATGCATCATGAGGGAGGAAAGCAAAGAAAACATTCTGGAGCGCGTCAGACGTGTGTCTATGTTCTTTGATAGATTCTAGATAAACGACCAACCCAGATAAGAACCTTTGTGGTTTACAGTCTCCATGTGGATAACAGCAAGGTAGCTGATCACTTTATGAGATATCATACTTAAATGGCCTAAGGTTATCAACAGATATTTCCTTTTTTATTTTGTTTTGTTTATTTGCTTACCATTCATTAATAGAAACATTCAGTAGAACAATATCAAAGAAGTTAGATGTTCGCTATTAGCTTTACACCGTAGAATATATATCTTTTACCTGCATAAGGTCAGTCTAAGAGCATCCTCGTAGACCTCCATAAATGTTAAAAGAAGAAACCGAAAGGCGAACACGAAATTGTTAAGGGTTTGTGGTCGAATACCACCCAATGGGAAAATGTTTTAAATATTTACTTGAACTTTTAGTGGAAACTAAAGTATTTTTTTTCCAAAATCGATCTGCAGTTCGTGGTGTTAAAAATGGTCGATACAGTGATTCAGTCTACATCTCGTGAGAATGTACCATTTTACATCTTGAATCGATAAACATTTTCTTTGCCCGTCTTAAAAAAATCATTTTGGCAAACTAACCTTTCAATTTTGTCTGCCAAACTTTATGGCAAAGGCGCCATTAATTGTCGCGAAGAATAAACATTATCAATTTTGCTCATTCTAAACGTCGGATAAATCAGATACTGAATTTCTTGTATAAAGTATTACTTTGGTTGAGACAGTAGAGGTGCTTTTCCAAAAAACACAAGCAATTAGCTTAGGCCTTACTTGGTCGCCCTAAGAATAGAATCGCGATTAAGACATTTTTGATCGCGATTCAGCTAAATTCCGTGTGCTCCCCAAAAATGTCCACATTTAGACATCGATGAATCGAGGTGTTATCAGTGCGTAAAAGCGGCATATGGCGAAGGTTTTACTCTAAAAGCGTCTTAAACAGTAGGATGTATTTCTAGCCCTATCCGATCGCTTCTTTGCGAACCAATCATTGCTAAGCAAATAAAATGGACTGTGTCTGTTGTCTGGCCGTAATCTTCGCTTGATCAATATGATTCTGAACCGCTCTGTACTCGCAGAGAGTTGTTTTTCGCTTCTGGGTCATTTATAAATAATCAGGAAAACACATTTAAAGATTGATTTTGATTTAATCAATCTTTAAAAGTCTTCTCCGTGGCATTTTTTTTTTAGTTGAGCTGTCAAATTTAAAACAGCACAAATGTAGAGCTAGTGGCTGGTGCTTATTCTCGTAATGTGCTTGTAGACTTCGTCGGTCCCGGAGAAAAACTAATTCAAAACGCAGGCGTTTAATGATTTATCGACAGAATTCAATATTTAATCACATCCGGCATGGCCCCGGCGGCGTTCGCGTTAAATTGTAGTACTCCATTTCCATTTAATGTTTTGTGTTTTTACTGAATATCTTCTGTTTAGTTTGGGTTTGACCTTAGTAAAACGTGAGGGATAGCCACAATAGCTGGGATAGTACAAAAAGAACATCTTAATCCAAAAACTCGATAAAAAAAACAAGTACTACTACTATAAAATGAAACGAAAATTCAAGGTTAAAGACCTGACAGCTTTGTCAGAACACGGACTATGGCTAACTTGCGCAAATGCATTATTTACATTTGTCGCGACAATTGAGCCACTTACTTAATTTTCCCATTACGCGAGGGGAGCTGAGATGCGTGGGACCGAGAATAATGATTTGAAATTTGAATTCACCATTTTCACATTGCCCAAGACAATAGACGATATTATTTTTTTAATTTGGAGTCTTGTACTAGCTGGTACATCAAACGTTTTCAATTTTCCGTTTTTCCCATTCAACTCCCCGCCGCTCCCCTGAAAAAAAAAAAAAAAAAAAATTGCGTAAGCATTATCCTCAATTTTTCTTGGCACGACTGTAATACCCAGGAGAAGGAGCAAAACATTGGGGGAGTGGGGTAAACGAGGTATATTCTCGATGAATCCGCGATGATGAGCACAAATATTGTCATAGTTATAGATCTTCGTATGGTGCAGAGTGTTTTTGATATTGTTAACGCACTCATCGATCCACCTCCTCCGAACCACAACTGTTGCCTTTTTCTTGTACTGTGTCATAAGTGTTGTGGTGGTTTAATTTCCATCACCTTCGACGGCAAAACGCACTTTAATGAAAGTTAAATATTCGTATTTTGACTTGATATTCTAAGTTTTATATTATTACATTAGAAATTTCTACAATTTGATTGGCTTAGAGCAGTGACATTTCGGCTTAATTTAAAATACCTACATGTGAAAATCACAAATTTTTTGCGGGTAGTAGAGTAAACAAATAATAACATGATTTGTATGTGATATTTGCAATAAATACCACTGGTGATAATTCAAAATTGTCTCAAATTTCACTCGCCTAACGGCTCGTGAAATTATGTATAACAATTTCGAAATATCACTCTCGTGGTATTTATGCCAAATATCACTACTAATCATGCTATTACTTATACTTTTTGTCTAATACCTTAAAAAGAAGACAGCTATGTGTTAAATTTCACAGAGCCATTTTATTCCGATCCATCATGTGTTTTTATGTTGCCTCTAGAAACATAGCTCAGCACATATTCTCTTTCGGCGTTGTTTGTTTGTTTATGTGCTGTTTGCAATTCTCTTTGGGAAATTGAAACAAAATAGTTGGAGTCCAGGGCCCAGTTGCTCGAAGCATGGTTAGCGTTAACCAGCGTTTAATGCCTTGACAACGTATTGGTTTTGATACTGCTTAACCAATGGTTAAAGCTAACCATGCTTTGAGCAACTCAGCCCAGTACAATAACGCATTTTCATTTTTTATATGACTGTGTACATCAACTCGTGTTCATCTAGTAGTGTAATTACAAATTACCAAAGGGCATTTGTTGAAATAGAGATCCCAGTTACGGCGTATTTGGTTCTTAAAATGACCTAACTTCTCGTCTAAGTGAACTTTTTTTTATCATTGTTTTTAACACAGCTTTATTTGCGTATTTCAAACAAATCGGTCACGTGGCATATCACGTGGTTAACCATCGACTTTTAGCAGTCCAAAACGCTTAACGCCATTATGACTCTTCTTGATAGTCATCCCGATTGACGCAAACCCTCTTGACCAGAATTAGTTTTAGAAATAAAAAAGGTTGTTTCCAAAAGAAGGGATATAGAATGATGAACTCAAGACTGCGCGAGACGGCAAGACCCTGGTTTTAAAATGCGAGACCGCGACTTGGGCGTTTTTTTCACATCCGAGCACGAGACTCTAAGAGTGTTTTCACATGACAAAGTCCATCCGTACTACGTGGCCAGGTTTTCTCTTTTCTTGTGGGTTCACTTTTTAAAATTAAATCTATACAATAATCGGTGGTTCCATGTCACGTTCATCCTTAAGAATTATTTGATACAGTTTCTAATTCATTTCCTAATTGATAAATTGGCAAGAACTTGAATATGATTTTTGCCATAAAGGTGATTCTAAAGCTGTGCTATGATATTTTTAACAAATTAGAAGAACTACCCAAGTAAACAAAATGGTCCTTGACAGATATTTTTAAAACGGCCGTTAAGATGTGTATATATTATTCAAAATTTGTGCTCTGTAAACATAAGGCGCTATTTATGATTGAATTGATTATGCAATTTTGTCAGAGGATGACCCCTGAACGGGTTGGCAGTCTGCGCGCCGTGAGCTCAATGCTGGCAATAGTTCTGATAAGTTAAGTTTTCCGCCCTTGGTAATAAACAAAAAACTGCAACAAACCAGGTAATCATCGAGGACTGTAAAATTGGGCCAACACCTTTGCCCTTAAAGTACTGAAGTTACTCACACATGTGTTACCACTTACCGCATTTAACTTCCCTTTTGAAGACTCAATGAAGCGGCTATCTGTAACCACGACTCGGTCGGCCAAGTTCTCTATAACATTAATTGTAATGCAACTCAAAGAACTGAATTTGAGAGCGATTATGTACGCTTGCTACCTCGAATAACATCCGAATATGTCTGAGCAGGTGCGAAGTGTCTTAATTGTTTTTTCCTTTTCCCCAAACCATACGAGGAACAAACAAACTACGCCATTAGGTAATGTTGATTCTACGATCAAGTTAATGAAATTCAGACCAAATATAGATGTCAGTGATTCGCCAAAATTAAAAACAGGATCTGCAATCGAGGAAGTTCTAGGAAGGCTACAAATATGTGATTCCTATTAGCGAAGAACATTATTTGTTCTACAGCTCTAGCACGACTTAACCGACTTGGCAACGAGTAGATCTCAGGCTCAAGGTAATTTTCACGTTTTCCCATCTTTTATTGGGCCTTTAATTTTGTTAGTCACGAACTTTGCGTCAGAATGCTCTAGTCTGAGCTCCCGTCGAAATTCCCAGGCAAGAAGAACGGCCGAGCCATTCAGAATTGATTAAGACTTTTCAGTTAGAAGAAAAGGCCTTTCGACTAATTGAACATAGTAGGGTCCACTTATGAATACCCCTTCGTCAGAACTAGAAAGACACGAACGAAGTGGTTTTTTTTCTGGAATTTTTTTAATTCCCGGGAAGCAAGGTGTGTGACAGTTTATTTTGCCCTGTTATCCGGCATTATATGTTCGATCGATTTCTGCTGGACGTTTTAAGAACGTTTGTGAAGCGTTTGTTGTATCAAATACACCGACAATAATATAGGCAAGTGAGTAATATTTTTTTAGTTTAATTCATTTATTGAGGTAGAAAATGAAATGCAAACTTATTTTCTACAAGGGCTAACAGAATGAGAAATAAGCGGCACTTTTAATTTTGAGAGTCTCTATTTATGTATATAATAATTTCCATATCAAAATTTTACCAGCTCTAAAATATTCTACCAGTTTTAATTAGAAACTTGGTGATCATACAACTTGGTATCTAAGTGTTAAATGCACGGCTAGCTATAGTGAACAGAAAGCAAATCCAAGTCTTTCACTCAGTTCCATGATCAAGGATTTTTAAGTAACCACATAGGCCAAGATAAAAATTGTTTGAAAGTGATGCTTATTTTAAGACCGTGCAGCACCTGACAGCCTTGAGTTGAAAGCGAGTAATTCGCGCAAAATTTTTATGAAACCCTTGAATTTTAGTGTTAGGTACCATGATCGATTAATTTCATTCATTGCTGCCTCTTCATTATTATGTTTACGCCGGTACACGCCGGCAGGAACAAAGACATTAACCAATTTCAAGCCACGTCCACTTGATGTCTCTGAAATGTTGCGAGATCCCGACCAGCAGGGTATTTTGTCTTTTTAGGCGCCTGGAAACAGATTTTTTAATGAAACTTCCGCTTTAATAACGGCATTAACCTTAAATTGCACTTTGTTCGAAGGAAACTGAATACTGATCTATTTTTTTTCCAAAAGTAAATAAAACAATGATACAGAACATCCTCGCTTTTTGATTTTCAATGATATTTCCCCAGCGCGAGAAGCTTTAATTTTGCCACATAATTTGACTGCTTCAACTTTTGCGCACGAAATCGTTTTTGCTGATTTTTGTCAAACTATTAAGTATTAAAAACCAATAATAAGAAAACGTGATATGAGTTACTTTTCACTCACCTCTTTTCCCAAATTGATTCCTCCTTTTTACCTTGTATTATTTCTTTATTCAGTTCAATTTTATTCATCAGTTTATAGTTTCAGGGTCGAAGCGAGTTTGGCAGTAATTTTTGTTTAGTATTTATTCTAATTGTGATTGGCTGAACATCTCGCACCCGCCAAATCTTCTAATAGCCTATCAAAAGTCAGTCCAGAATGACCTTCACTATGTTACATAAAATTACAGCAATTCATCTTTATGTCCTTTTGTTACTGCCTGGAGTGCGACTTTATTTTTTCCCCTACGTTTTAGCATTACAGAATATATTAAGTTAACCTGAACGGCCCATGCTCGCTTTATAACATTATTTTTACTTTCTACTTGCTGACAAACCTCTGGCTGCGAGTTTTCATCTTTTAAAAAAACAAATGCGCTTATGTATGATGTAGGCTCTTCAGTCAAACCTCTATCGCCGTGGGCTATCCTTTCAGTTACTGTAAAATGTAAACGTGAATTAGTTAAATCTATTACGTGTGATGTGTCAAAAGTATTCGGGGAACAAGTGCGCATGTACAAACTAGTTTGTTGCCTACTACCTTTTGCTGCAGATTAAATTAATATGTAGAATGTAGAGTTTAAGTTGTGCAAATATTCATTGCATGTGATTCTCTGTTTACGTCTCTTAGTGATCAGCACATTTCTTTATAACTAAAACCTCTTGTTGGAGGTTGAAAGTTTATTACAAGTGTCTTTTTGTTGTTGTTGTTGTTTTTTTGTTGTTTTTAATGTACTTGGAGCAAAGTCATTTCTCACATACCTTAGCAACAAGCTGCTTCGCAAAGGTTCGTGTCAAAATCTATTTTTCCGTGGATACCTGATGTTTGAAACAACGTGAATTAATATATCAATCTGCTTGCGGTTGAAAGTATAATTCTGAGCATTGTTAAAATCACTCTACCTACCATAAATCATTAATGAGTTACAGGTATTTTGATGAATTATCTCACGTTTACTCTCTCCACTTCGACTATACACACTTAATTCACTTTCAGATTAACTTTAAAAGTTCCAAGTGCGTATGACTTGAAAAAAGTTGAGTTTTCTATTTGTAATTTTGTTGGCATTTTAAGTATAGAGCAAGTACATTAGCGGAAGGTAGATTTTGGTCGTAAAGGATTCTATTAAACCATCGCCATAATATGCGTACTTGAAAATTTCGTTGGTGTTTAAACTCTGATTAACTTACAATTATACTCTTAGCTATAAATCCCCTTAAATTGAAATGATGCTATCTTAACTTTCACCGCAGTAACAATGAAAACTCTACAACGTAACCATCCCGAAGTGCAAATCCTTAACTAAACTGTACGTGTCGCCTCCATGCCTTTTTTACTTTGTTGAGTAATAATTAACGCAAAATTGCGTGTTATCCGGACAGTGTCCTTGTTCTCGGCGTCCTTGCCACTGAAGGCGCTCGGTTTAAAAACAATATATTATATTTTACACTATAGTAATGCACAGAAAACCTCAGTCAGCTATCATAATTAAAAAGACTTACCATTGGGACTGATAGTTTATATTAAATCCAGAAAATCCCTTGCCGATTTTTTTGGCCATCCGTTTAATTTTGTTTCAGTTGTAGAACCAGCGGCAGTATTATGAGCTAACAAGGGTTCTTTTCTTTTGATATCATGCGCTTCCTTAAGGCAACAGAATTACTAACCTCATGTTGTGTTAATTATTTCCATATATATTTATAAAACAAGAAAAAGCAAAACACCTGTCGTAGTATGTGTTCTCAACTTTGCCGTCCGATTCTTATTAATCAGTTTGTCTTGCAGATCCGGTGCACTTAGAATTTTATAAATGTTGTTTCGCTGAAGTGGTCCTTTATCTATAGTGAACTTTCAAAATTTATTTCGTTTCGTATGGAAACAGTTCATGAATTGAAGAAAGACCGCAAAGAAGAGAACGTTCGATCGTTTCGGTAAGTTGAAAAAGGTAAATTAAAGACGGAAGGTTTTTTTCCCCTTTCCTTTTCGATTTTATTTAGAAAAGCAACCTGCAACCAGAAATGGTTTAATTAGTTAAATTTCTCCTCCTAATTGTCAAATCTCGTCTCTTTTTGTCGTCAAGGAGAAAAAAAGAACATTATCGGGTTTTCCTCTTTTTATGTAACAACACTTGTATACAGATCAGTTTTCTGTATAGTTTAACAATTTTTATGAGAGGTATGTGTCGATAATGAACATGCTTTAGATGAACCTATGCTAACCAAAACCAAAACGCGATCGTACAATGAATTTTTATTAGCATCAACGAAATCTCCAACCATTTTTCCCAGTTGTTCATTACGATTTTTGTTATCCAATTGAAAATAGCTGAATTTTGATCTCGAGCATTATACAGCACTTATCGCCGGCTCCCATTATATGCAACCAAAAACAAAGACATGGTAATCTGAAAAGTCGAACAGTCTGTAAGACTGTTTGAATTTGCGGCCAAATTGGATAAATGTATTAAAGTACGTACAGCCATTTCAACATGGGGAGAACCAGCCATGTTTAACATGACTTTTGCAAAGACATTTACTTTCTCTGAGGGAGTTCTTGTAAATAGCAGTAAATTAGATGAACCTAATGAAATGCGTGTAGTCATTCAAACGCGGGTACAAGCAGCCATGTTTAACTTGACTATTACAATTACAATTTTTCGCACTACATTAAATATTTAATGTCAATGAAAGAGATATTTTCAGCAGAAATAAATTTGATACGATAGTATACCTGTTGCTATACAACTACCCAACCTTCGATCCGTTAGCCGCAAACTTGAGCTAAGGAAACAGCTGATTCAAGACAGGTACGATAGCAAACAAATAATAATCAAAAGTTTTATAATAATTACTCAAGTTTTAAGCCTTGAGGGAACAAGTCTCATGATTGGCAAAGTCTGCCACGTCCAATATCTTACCGTATTTCGCTGCATTTGGCTTTGAAACACGGATCTCTGGCTCGAGACGGAAAGGTAATCGATGTTGAATTCTTTGTTCTGGGTGATGAGGAGTCTCTTGGTTCAGAAAGTAGGTTCTAGGAGTCAAGTCTATTCGGCGAGAGCAAAATTGATGCTGATTTCTAACCAAGCCGTAGACTTAGTTGGAAAATGTTTTGAAGGCGAGTCCTTCATCTATCCCTTTAAAAAGTTAGTCTTTATCCGGGAATTCGAATAAAACCCTGAACGGCTGTGACAGAAGTGTCTGAAGTTGTCTTATCTGCCAAAAGAGGGAGGTTTTCCGAAAGCATAATTTGATTATATTTCCCCCGTTTTTCAAAGTGTGGAAAGATTGTGCCTTGTTGTCGATAGTTTTATCAGTGCCGCGAAAGTGTTTTACTGTGTGATTTCGTGAAGTTGTTGACAGACAGATTCCGGTATGTCGTGAAGTTTATGGTACAAGAATATTTTGTGCCAAGCATGAAACCGCTTGCATGATTGTTTAGCTTAGGTGATTTTTTCGTAGTAAACCAATTCTGGGTTCAAGGAAAGTGGTTGTTAGGTCTTTTTTTGGCTGGGATCTTGCAATAAGCCTCTTTCCAGAGAATAAAAGGTCACAATTCTGTGCTTTTCAAATGTAGTTAACTTCATTTCCAAATGTTTTTCACTCTTGCCAAGAGAAATTTTTCGTCTGATGACGGCAATTAAGTTGTCGTTTTTAAGCCCTAACTCTCTAACTCTAGCGACTGTTTTGCATTCGCCTCGAAGGGTCAAAACGCACTTGAAGGTAGGTACTTTTTTGGCAAATCCAGACGTACAAATAAGTTACTCAAATATGGAATTGAAGACATTCCTTTAATTATTTGATTCAGAATCGTCTCCATTTTTTAATACTGGTATTTATTTATTTCGGCTTCAACTTCACACAGCAAGACTATTTTTAAATGCAAAAGATGATGATGGGGTGCTTCTAGTTTGTTTGTTTCTAACTTCGCATTTCATTAGTCTCTATTAATCTTTAGTGATATTTTGATGGTTTATATATATTTATTTATTTATTTTTTGTTTTGTTCTGTATATTTACTTTTGTGCCAAGTTATGATATTTATGTTGTACCAATGCATTTGTTGTGCCTCGTTTCTGCTGTCTCAGTTTTAATTATCATAATTACGGTCACCCAACTAGTTTAGCTTTTTATAGATATTTTGGGTGTCCCACTACTGTATGTACTGTTTATTTATTTATTTATAATTGTATTCTTGTAAATTCTTTTAGTTGTTTACAGTAGTAGATTGTCGGGGAGAGTGTACCGAGGAGTGCGCTAATTTGGATGCTTATAGATGGAAAATATTTGCTAAGGATAGTTGGATATTCCAGTTGTTCGGTAGTAACGGCAGTGTTATTGGGCGCATAATACGGGAGATTACTTACTCTCCCACGTTGTTTATTTTTTATTTATTTGCATATTGCATTCATTTTGTGCGAAGGAAAAGTTACATGTATATTTTATTTCTGTAAAATTTATATTTTTCTCGATCTTCAGGAAAGAAAAGTTCATTCTTTGTCCGCATACATTTTTGTTTGGTGATTCATCAAGTTTTGACGATTGTTTTAGACCAATGTCGATATTTTAACATTCATACTTGCCACCGAGGCTCAGAGGAATAAAACAAAAGTAATGTTTTATTAATTGCTGAGTCTCCAGATGAAATTGGCCCATTTTACGTTTCGTTAATTTTCTTAGTGGGGCCTGCATGTTGATTACATGTATTTTATTCCATTTGTTATAGCGAATAGGTTATAACGACATCACTCACAGAAAGAAAAGATTCCCTGTGTAACTGTGAAAGATCCTGCAAAAACTTCTGCTGAAAGAATTTTGAGTAGTCTCGAAGAATACCTTTCACGGGTTGGGTTCTTTCGATGGATGATTGAAAAATTCAACATTGGGAAAAATGATCGGAGATGTCGAAACATTAAGGTCATTTATACGAAGTTTTTCTCGTCTTAGCTAAGACGCGTCTTATCTAAGAACTGGTGTTAAGGGCTGTTCTAAAATAAGACGCGTCTTCGCTAAGTTGCGTCTTATTTTAGACGAAATGTGCCGTTTATACGGAAAGTTCGCGTCTTATTTAAGAAGCGTCTTACATAAGACGCGTCTTATTTTTCCTCGTATAAATGGCCCTATTGCGTCAACTTGCACAGTATTCGCTAAATTTGTTTTTGAAGATATTGTCAATAAGTGTTGCTGAATTATTATACACCCTTGTCGGCTTATCAGTTGTCGGCATGGCGTGGCTCTGTCGGCAATTAAGAAGTTGTTGAGCATAATTACAAGTTTAGGCACTGAGAATATTTATCTTAACATCAACTCAAAACGAAATTTTCGAAAATTTGGTTTACCTGTACCTCTAAAGCGATCAACAGTTGCTTCAAAATAGTCTACAACACGTTCTGACGAATTACTTTGCCTATAGATAACGCCAAGCCTACGCCACAGATCAGTAATATAACTTTGCATTTTAAATTGTAGTTCATTCCACAGAGCCCGAAGTGCCTCACCTTGAGGCTCACCTCCATAAAAAAAAGAGGCGTTGGAACAAACCCAAAGTTGTATTCATGTATGTTTGAATTGAAATAAAAAGAAAAAGTTATTATAAATTCTAATTTCTGACACTGCAATATTAATGAAAACTAAGAATGTGACTTCAAAATCATCCAACTTGCCTTTTAGGCTTCTTTGTATGGGAAAAAGACAGCTTTCATCAGGCGTATTCACTTGGTTTAAATAGTTGTTTTAAAAACCTTCAGGAGGAATAACATTTACAACAACAAATGCTTTTGAATAATCAAGTTAGATCTGGACCCGCTATAGACGTATCGTCCATTAGATTAAATCTCTCAATATCGCAGATACCAGTCAGTCGCTCGAGATATTTTTTCGTCGATGGCAAGATATTATTTAACCAAGTTAATAACAATATTATATGGCACTTCACAGAACAATTGTCATAATGAAAAGTTGGAGAAAAGTGCCAATCATTAAACTTATCTTGGAGTTTATGTCACCATCTCCAATTCCTGCTGACCTGACAATGTAAAGTGCTGTGACATCTTTTACCTTGATGGCGCGGCTGTTCTCCGTGTACGGAAGATATCCTACAGAATGTTTCAGCGAGCAGAAAGGGTAATTATGTCGTGACTTGAACATGTTTTTTCTTAAACGTTTTTGCTTCCCCGAGAAGCCCCTGGACTGGCGTGGGGAGGGAGGTGTAGCACCATAGAATTGGATAAATCCGCATGCAGTGTCCCTAAAGCCCACGTCTTTTTGGTCGACTTTGGAGATTTCTCGACGGTGTTACATAATTGACTTCTCACACTACTCGCCTTACAAACCTACAAATAATCGGTTTTGGAAGGTCGAAGCGTTTCATGAGAACACTCGGTGAGTTATTTCGATATTAAATGATTCGAACGCAGAGATTCGTCATGTCCATGATATGCTCGTTAGTTCCTGGGTCAAGAATCCTCAGAAATCTCGGTCACACCAACCAATTTCACAAGTTTTAACTGTGTCGAACTAAATTATCAATTTCGATCGCCATTTTGTCTACTCGGCAACTACTCGGCTCAAAATAAATCAAGTCGGTTACCAAGAGTCTTTAAATCCTTCTTGGCTGCTACATTAAAAACCTTTCAGATCGTCATATTCCGCTCCAACAAATTCTGCTGATTTCTCAGTTTCAAGATGCGGTTTACGGTCGCCATGCGAACTACAGTCAGACACCTGACTTGGGTCACATAGCTCTGGTACCTTCCTTTCTCCCTTCCAATGTTGTTAAGTGACGGTTTTTTCGGTGGAGTTGTCCAACTTCGAGACAAAAATTGGAAGGGAGAGGGAAAAAGAAGTCAAGGTCGTAATTCAAGTGACCCAAGTTCTAATGTCATGAGTTTTAGATTCATAAGTCTTCAATGCAGTTGAAGTCCGGCCAATTCACCTTTCAAGCTGTTTATTTCTTTCTTTAATTTCTCACTTCCTGAAGAGATTTAACAGTGGGATTTGGCTTTCTTGTCATTAAAGATTGTCAAAATTTTAGTCTTAGTACAGGGTTTGAAAAACGCGTCTACACAGTATCGGAACTGATGCCACGTTCTCGCTGAAAAGTTTCTGTCAGCTGTATTTCTTTCTTTCGTTACTGGCCAATTTACCCGCTGTGTTAAGGTACGAGTTCTGTGGAAAAAAATTAATAAAGAAACAATAAAAAAGGCTATTGAATTATAAAAGCAAAATTATAAATCAGCTTTTTTTTAATTCTTTGTATATAAAATTAGATTCGTCCACAACTTTCGCAAACTGAATCACTCGCTGAGTTTCGCTTGCTCAGTCACAATTACCTAATAGCTTTCTTCAATCATTCGAGTCACTCGATTCCCATTGAACTCATTTTTGACACATGCAAATACTTATTTGGCGTTAAATTTCAGCGTTTCTGACCCACTGTAAAAGAGAACACCTGCAGCATTGGCTCTCTTCTATTGGCATAGAGGCCAAATTATCAAAATTATCAAGCTGTCAAAGCGCATCTAAACCAAGTAGCTTTGTCAGATTACCAGTGTCTAAGACAGTGTTTTTGGTCTTATCAGGTGTGAACTACAAAGCCAGAAAAGAAGAAGGGACCGGTCGAAATTCAGACGACATAACACTCATAGATTAACACCTCGCACATCTTCGGAACGCATAATTTCATTATATTTTCCCCGTAGTTTGAAAGTGTGGAAAGATTGTGCCTTGTTGTCCATGGTTTTATCAGTGACGCTAAAGTATTTTACTGTGTGATTTCGTGAAGTTGTTGACAGGCAGTATTCAGGTATGTCTTGAAGTTTGTGGTACGAGAATATTTTGTGCCAAGCATGAAAACGCTTGCGTGAGTGTCTAGCTTGGGTGATTTTCTCTTAGAAAACCAATTCTTGGTTTAAGGAAGATGATGACAGCAAATAAGTGGCCCCTTTTAAGCCCCAACTCTCTTGCTCCAGCGATTTTTGACTGTTTTGCATTCGCCTCGAGGGTCAAATTGTCAAAACGCACTTGAAAGTTCTGTAGGTAACTTTTTTTCAAATCCAGACGCACAAATTAAGTTACTCAAATATGCGATTAAAGACATTCCTTTAATTGTTAGATTCTGAATCGTCTCCAATTTTTAATACTGGTATTAATTTTGTCTCGGCTTCAACTTCACACAGCAAGATTTTTCTTAAATGCGAAAGATGATGATGGTGTGCTCAGTGTGCTTCTAGTTTGTTTCGGGCAGAGTGTATTAGTGTGGTAATTTGGATGCTTAATTATAGATGGAAAATATTTGCAAGGATATTTGGATATTCCAGTTGTTCGGCAGTACCAGCAGTGTTATTGGGCACATAATACGGGAGATTATACTTACCCTTCCACGTTGTTTATATTTTATTTATTTTCATATTGCATTCATTTCTTGTGAAGTAATTATGATAAAATGTGACATATATATTTTATTTCTGTAAAATTTATATTTTTCGTGATCTTCAGAAAAGAATTAAGTTCATTCTTTGTCCGCATACATTTTTAATTCTCTTGGTGATTCATACTTTTGACGATTGTTTTAGATCAATATCGATATTTTAAAATTCATACTTGCCACCGGGGCATAGAGGAATGAAACAAAAGTAATGATTTTATTAATTACTGAGTCTCCATATGAAATTGGTCCATTTTGCGTTTCGATATTGGCTAAGTGGGGCTTGCATGTTGGTTATGTTATTCTATTTGTTATAGCGAACAGCTTACCGACATCACTCCCAGAAAGAAGAGATTTTCTGCGTAGTTGTGAAAGATTGGGCTGCAAAAACTTCTGCTTTGAGAATTTCCAGTAGTCTAGAGGAGTAACTTTCACGGGTTGGGTTCTTTCAATGGATGATTGAAAAATTCAACATTGGGAAAAATGATCGGTCATGTCAGAAATATTATGTCCGCTTGCATAGTATTCGCTGCACTTGTTTGTGAAGATATTGTAAATAAGCGTTGCTGAATTATTATCCACCATGGTTGGTCGGGTTATCAGTTGTCGCCATGGCATGGCTCTGTCGGCAATTAAGAAGTTGTTAAGCATAATTACAAGTTTGGGCACGGAGAATATTTGTCTTAACACTGATCAACTCAAAACGAAATTTGGTTTACCTGTACCCCTAAAGCGATCAACAGTTCCTTCAAAATAGTCTAAAAAACGTTCTGCCGATCTTACTTTGCCTATAGATGACACCAAGCCTATGTCACCACAGCTAAAATAACTTTGCATTTTAAATTGTAGTTCATTCCACCGAGCATGAAGTGCCTCACCTTAACGCTCACCTCCATCAGAAGGAGGCGTTGGAACAAACTCAAAGTTGTAGCTATGTATGTTTGAATTGAAATGAAAAAATGTTATTATAGATTCTAATTTCTGACACTGCAATAATATTGAAATGGAAATCTAGTTCACTAAGAATGTGACTTCAAAATCACCCAACTTGCCTTTTAGGCTTCTTTGTATGGGAAAAAGACAGCTTTCTTTAGACGGATTCACCTGGTTTAAGTAACTGTTTTTAAAAAACCTCAGGAGGAATAACATTTACAACAACAAATGCTTTTGAATAATCAAGTTTGATCTGGACCCGCTATAGACGTATCGTCCTTTAGATTAAATCTATCAATATCAATATCGTAGATATTGATATTGATATACTGCTCGGTCAGTCGCTGGAGGTATTTTGTCCTCGATGGTAAGATATTATTTAACCAAGTTAATACCAATATTATAAGGCAGTTCACAGAACAATTGTTTAGTCAACTTACTACTACTATCTTTTCGTTGCCATAATGAAAAGTTAGGGAAAAATGCCAATCATTAAACTTATCTTGGAGTTTTTGTCACCATCTCTAATTCCTGCTGACCTGACAATGTGAAGTGCTGTGAGATCTTTTACTTTGATGGCGCGGCTGTTCTCCGTGTACGGAAGATATCCTACAGAATTTTTCGCCCAGGAGAAAGGGTTAATTATGTCGTCAAGGGGTTTCAGTAAGCCCCGACGACCGACGAAACGCGTCGGCTGCTTTGCTCAGAGAAGTCGCCCACTTTTTTCCTCAAAGAAGAAGCAGCTAGTTTAAATGATGTCGTAAGAAAAATAGAATTTGTTCACGTGCAAATCTACGTAACCTGATAATTATCATTTGTTCTTGCTTGTAAGAGTTGATTGTGTGGCTGATAAATCAAAATTTAACTTGAAGTTCTAGCCAAATTTTCTTGAATGGAAAACATGCTCTTTTCTACTCATTCTAGTCCCCTGAACGATAGAAATCGCTTATTAGCGCTTTGAAATTTTAAAATTTTCTGAGGAAGCATGCCCCCAGACGCTCCTGGAAAAAGTGGACTACCGGCCCGTTGTTGATACATGCAGTCGGCCGTTAATGTGTTCAGTTAAACCTGCTGGCTACCTCACTTTTTATTGAAACCCCTGCGTGCCTTGAACATGTTTTTTCTTCAACGTTTTTGCTTCCGCGAGAAGCCCCTGGAATTTCGGCGTGAGGAGGGAGGTCTAGCATCATAGAATTGGATAAATCCGCAGCGTCCCTGAAGCCCACGTCTTTTTGGTCGACTTTGGAGATTTCTCGACGGTGTTACATAATTGACTTCTCACACTACTCGCCTTACAAACCTACAAATAATGGGTTTTGGACGGTCGAAGCGTTTCATGGGAGCACTCAGTGAGCTATTTCGATATCAATTATTCGAACGCAGAGATTCGTCATGTCCATGGCATTCTCGATAGTTTCTGTCTCGGGAATCCTCAGAAATCTCGGGCACACCAACCAATTTCACATTAAAGTTTTAAACGTGTCGAACTAAATTATCAATCTCAATAGCCATTTCGTCACTCGGCAACTAATCGGCGCAAAATAAATCAAGTCGGTTACCAAAGGCCTTTAAATCCACACAAAAGCCTTTCAGATCGCCATATTCCACCCCAACAAATTCTACCGATTTCTCAGTTTCAAGATGCGGTTTATGGTCGCCATGCGAACTACAGTCAGACACCTGACTTGGGTCACAGCTCTGGTACCTCCCTTTCTCCCTTCCGATGTTGTTAAGTGACGGTTTTTTCGGTGAAGTTGTCCAACTGCGAGGCCATGGTAGTAATTCAAGAAACCCTCGTTATAATGTCACGAATTTTAGATTCATAAGTCTTCAAAGAATGCAGTTGAAGTCCGGCCAATTCAACTTTCAAACTCTCGATTTCTTTTTCCAATTGTTCACTTTCTGAAGAGATTTAAGAGTAGGACTGGCTTCCTTGTCATTAAAGATTGTCAAAATTTTAGTCCTAGTACAGAGCTTGAAAGGCGTCTGTACAGTACCGGAACTGATGCCACGTTCTCGTAGTTCATTCTTTCGTTACTGGCCAATTTACCCGCTGTGTTTAAGCTAAGAGTTTTGTAGAAAAAGAATAATAAAGAAGCAATAAAACAAGCTATTGAATTATAAAAGCAAAAACTATAAATCACCTTTTTTTAATTCTTAATGTTCATAAAAGTAGATTTGCCGACAACTTTGACAAACTGAGTCACTCGCTGTGCTTTACTTGCTCAATCACAATTACCTAATAGCTTAGCTAATCAATCATTCGAGTCATTCGCCTTGCATTTAACTCATTTTTGACACATGTATGCAAATGCTTGTTTATTTGGCGTTAAATTTTAGCGATTCTGACCCACTATAAAAGCGAACACCTGCAGCATTGGCTCTCTTCTATTGGCAGAGAGGCCACATGAAATTATCGAAATTATCAAGCTGTCAAGCGCATGTAAACCAAGTAGCCTTATCAGGTTACCAGTGTCTAAGACAGTGTTTTTTGGTCTTACCAGGTGTGGACTACAAAGTCAGAAAAGAAGAAGGGACCGATGAAAATCTAGACGGCATTAAGCACTCATATATTAACACACCTCACATCTTCGGATATATAATGTACAAATGGTTTTATATTTAACTTAAGTGGTACCTTACTGTGGCGGCAAGACAAACTGGATGATGAATTCGACAGAAACCTCGACACAAAAAGGCGAGGAAATTGGCTCGGGCGATGCTACATGGATTCTAACAAGTGCCTTCATCATTTTCACCATGCAATCCGGATTCGGTCTTCTAGAATCCGGCATGGTCTCCAAGAAAAACGAAGCGAACATAATGGTCAAGAATGCTGTTGATGTTATATACGGCGGACTGTCATACTGGCTTTTTGGGTTTGCTCTTAGCTTCGGTTTAAGCAGCCATGGGAATGCTTTCGCTGGTTACGGGCATTTTCTGACGGACGCCCACGAGAGTGAAATGGGGCAAGTGTTTTCAAAGTACTTTTTTCAGCTTTCGTTTTCAACGACTGCCACCACTATTGTTTCCGGAGCCATGGCTGAGAGAACAAACTTGAAGGCCTATACCATGTATTCGTTCCTTAATACTCTTACTTACACTATCCCAGCGCATTGGATTTGGGATGAAAAAGGTTGGCTTCATACAATGGGAGCAGTTGACATTGCTGGCTGCGGAGCGGTCCACTTAGTCGGAGGTGTTAGCGGATTGGTAGCGACGTTGATGCTGAAACCACGCACGGGCCGATTTGATGCAGACGCGCCACCAAAACACATGGCCTCTCCGACCAATGTTCTCCTAGGAACGTTTATGTTGTGGTGGGGCTGGTTGGGGTTTAACTGCGGAAGCACGTTTGGAATTAGCGGCATGAAGTGGAAATTAGCCTCCAGGTACATTACAAAATGTAATTTCTCCTAGCTTCTCATAAGGGCTTCCGTACCCACGAAGAATCCACTTTCCCACAACTAATACTTGTCTACTATGTTTGTAATATTGGGAAAATGAAAACAACTTTGTAGAAAGAAATTCTTTTGTGCATCAACTGAAACAAACTTTTGAGATTAAAAAAAACGAACTGTTTGGCAATGAAAAAAAATGCAATTGAGTGTATGAATAGCTTAGTAAATAATAAATTGCACTAGCAGCAATCGGGGACTAGTACGTGCATTCGAATGTTTACCTCTGGAATTGCGGTTGGTAATGAATGTCACCAAAGTGGGGAGGTCTGTACGATTACGTGAATTGTCAGGGGACGAGTTTAATCAGGGAAATGGGTTTGACAGAGCCACTTTCCTTTTCATCAAGTCTACCGAAGTTAATATAACCCGAGTTTGATATAAGAATGTTCTTGGAATTTAACAACAAGATAATATATATTTAATTCCTCTAACAAACAGAACACAACACAACATTTTTGAAATTTAGCATAGGTCTGTCTTGTGGGCGCAGAGAACGGCTTCTGGTAATCGAGTCTTGAATGTTTGAACCTGTTTCTTAATTTCATCTCGCCAACAGGGCAGCAGTTGTAACTATCAATGGTTCAATAGGTGGAGGAGTTCTCGGAATGGTGTACAGGTGGGTCAAGACAGTCAAACCGGTTAAACATATAGTGTGTTTCCATTTTCTACCTCTCTTGGGAATTTATTTTCATTACTTTTTTTTTTCCTGTGGGCTTACCTAATTTTCTTGTATAATATCATGGGTGACAAATTACTCCCTAATTTTGACGCGAAATTTCAGCGCTAATTTATAATTTCATGGCAACGTTCCGCACTTTTTAGTGCCAAGATGGCTTCGAAGTTTTATAATGTATGAATGAAGATATCAGGGCATTAAAAGATGCTCTAGAAAACCTAAACACACGAAAGGACACATTAAGAAGGATTCTAACAGGTATTTTGTCGAAAAAGTCAGAAGCTTGTTAGCTTAAAACAAAATTTATGCTCTAAACTTTTCAGTGCGTGGAGTTGTCGATCCAATAAACAACAAACGGCACGATTGTGAGCGTAATTTGTCACCCATGACTCGTGAAAATAGGGAAAGGCTCGGGAAATTATAACAACTTGGACAAAACGCGCTTGAAATTATTTTACTCGTCACCTTGTGGTTACTCATACTTATTTTAGCACATTAGTATTGTTTGTTAGTTTGTTTTTTTTTACGGGTTGATTTATAGCCTCCTGTCTGAAGATAGTTTTCACCCTTAGAATCACAGTGTGATAGGATTTGAGAAAAAAAAAAAAAAAAAAAAAAGGGGAATCGGTTTGCTTCCCTCGACATAATTATGCATCTGGTCTTCTAATTGTTTCCATAACACTGTAAAATTCCGAAAATAAGCCCCGGGGCTTATATTTTTCAAAGGCCCTTTTTAAGGGGCTTAGTTTTGGAGGGGCTTATCTACGGAGGGAGATTTGCGTTTCAAAATTGATTGGGCTAGCCTTATAGTTGGAAGTAAATTTACCGTTTTTGCTTTTCACTTTGTATTTGAGGGCAATTTTCCAAGTACAAGCCCCTGGGGGCTTATATTTGGAGGGGCGATTTAACGGAGGGTTTTTTGCGTTACCGATTTGGAGGCTTATTTTTGAAGGGGCTTATACACGGAAGGGCTTATTTGCGGAATTTTACAGTATCTCCTGGGACGGAGCATTTTCGAAGACTTGATCCTAGTAGTCGTCGAAAGATTTCCTTAAGAAAACTATTTATTGATGGCCGATGCTTTAATTTTTTTCTTTTCCTTATAGTTATATTTGCTTTAAAAACAAGTTAGACATTCCAATATTTGTGACTGGTATTCTAGCGGGTCTCGTCAGTATAACAGGTATGTTAGCAATGATAGAAACAATGAGACTTGGTACTTTCTTTTGTCTGTTTTACGTACTTACTCAGTTCAGTATAGTCCAGTTTCGAATTAAAAATTACCGCTGAATATAAACATTAACGACACATTCATACAGGGTTAGCCTCGACGTCAAGTAAAATATTCAGAAATTCTGGCAATTAAGTGTTTGAAATTTGAATACAGCTATTTCGAAAAAGGTTGTTGTGCACGCGACAATCCCGAAAGGTAATATGGGATATGATCATGACACTGTTTCTGACGACTGTACCTGTTGAACCTACTTTTGTTGCTTTCCTTTAGCAGTCGCAAACACATTTTCACGGCCTTTCGTACCAATTCTTTCGAATTTCCTTAAAGAACAGTGAACTTAAAACCACCCACAATGCCTTTCGGGATTGTCACGTGCACTTTTTTCGACAACCTTTCTCGAAATAGCTGTATACACAATAGAGCGTTTTCACATGACGTCACGGCGGCCATATTGGTGTTCCAAAACAATGAAACGGCAGCCATGTTGGTGTCCCAAACCAATCCTGTGGGATTTGAACTCTTTTCTTATGTAAACGCATTCTTTTGTTCTAATAAGTTAGCATAGCTGCTGGCCACGTGAGTGAAAACGCTCTATAGACAGAGTAATAAACAGGTCTTTTTCTCGTTGGAATTTGCGAATATGTTACTTCAGATTGAGGCAAAGGCTGTAAAAAATGCGTCTTCACTTCTTTAATTCACCGGTCATAGCGAACTCGAAAATGGACTATTGTCTTAGCTTTATAGTGACAGGTCTCGTCGAAAACCACCCTTGGGTGATGGTGACGACCTGTATAAAGATTTGAACTATTAGTAGCATTATTATCGTAGTTTATTTAGTCAATAATTCTTCTCTTTGAAATGGTTATGGCCAAGAAGAGCTACAGTTCAGTAGTGACTAAATAGTTTTTATTTTGAATATCTCTAAAAACGGCAGGAGCTCATAACTCCGGAGTTTCCATCAGCTGCTAAAAAACGTCTCAAAATGTTACACTTCCCTTTTATTTTTAGATTTTTCCCCTTTCTTTTTTGTTTTTTGTGTGTTTACAACGTCCAACAATCCAGTATGCCAGTTCGGTATTCTTTTTGAACCTTGGTTCTTCAAAACGTGGACAAGCTTTCCATGCTGGCTTTACTTAACTTGGCACTTTGGTAATCTCATCCGATCCGCCATTGCAGGAAATCCTTAATACTCTAGCCTGATTAGCTGGGAGTTTTCGGGCCCGAAAAATGAATCTGTAAATAGCCTGTAAGTCTAAAACGATGTAAAATCGAAGCTTTTATGAGTGACTGATGGTTAATGATTTTCAATTTACTGTTGTTATATTTGACGCACTATTTTTTTTTATTTTTTCCCGAGAAGGTGCCCTCATGGGAGAATCTTCCCCCGCATGAGTGAGACATTAGGGGCCTGTTTCTCTAAATTCCTGGTAACAGTTCGGGTCAAATACTCAAGATCTAAAGAATGAAAGCGCAAGTCCTACAATGAGGGCATCTGTGTTGGGACACTAATGCTCTAATATTAGTTACTTGCCTTTTTCTAACAATCAATTTCTCTGGTATAAATCACATTCATAATGTATAGACCCCTTGCTAATGATTAGAATTACAAGTGAACTTTTCAATGACATGATCTTTCTTTAAACATAAAATACAGGTGATTCTTGTCAGTAGTAAAATAATGATGCATAGGTCTGGTAAAAATAAAACTTTACAGTGATCTTATACCACAGGCTTCCCAACCATCACTTTCCTTCCGTCTTCCTTGCAGCCATTTGTTCGCTTGCGCGTCCTTGGGAAGCCATAATTATTGGTGCGCTAGGTGCTCTGATAGCGTGTCCCGGATGTGCTCTTCTCGAGCGGCTGCGAATCGATGACCCTGTGGGCTGCGTTCCAACACACGGATTGGCGGGAATCTGGGGCTTAATTTCAGTCGCCTTGTTTGCAGAGAAAGATATCCTGGAAAAACGTTTCTCTGACGAGTTTGGTATTTTTAAGGGAGGTCCTTGGCGCTTTTTAGGCGTGCAAATGCTCATGGTGGTAGCAGTTTCTGCTTGGTCAGCGGTCACTACTTTCGTGGAATTACTTTTTGTCGATAAGCTGCTGGGATTGCGCATGACCTTGGAAGATGAGCTATTGGGAGCTGACAAAGTTGAGCATGGTATCGAAGACCACGAGCCATCATTGCAGAGCAGCTATTATAGTGCAAATGAGAATGGTCAAGAAGCAATTAAACCTGCAGAGTTAAATGTAAATCAGTTACAAATAAGCGGAGAGAGTACAGATGCAATGCAGGAAAGAGAAAATGGAGGTAACTTTCCATTGGAAACTGTCCACACTCGGCGAAAACTTCTTCGACTAAAATTTCGAAGAGCTCTGTCACTTAAGACTCCTAAACAAAACGATCACTCAACCAACGGTGTTTTTACCATGAAAGATTCATATGCTAACGGCAGAGTAGGCGTTAACACGGAATATGTTAGCGAATTTGACAATCATTATACCCTGGAATATGGAAACCCAGCGAAAAAGAACGGAAGTGTGATAATAAAACAAAGCAGCAATGATGTTCCACCTTGCTGATTTTGAACCGTTTCTACGGTCTACTGTAAATAAATCACCCGTCATTTTGCTTACGGACAAGCTTGATGAGTCCTTTCACCTCTTGGCCAATCGTGCACTTTTCTTTTCCTCTTCTGAAAAGCAGCTCCCCGCCCTCTAAAGTTAGTCATCCTGGCTTTTTGTTTTTTACGAGATATCGTCACAGACTCATAGAGCCGTGCAGTCAAGACATCCTGAAGTTACAAGTATGGATTATAGGGCCAATCTTCTTTAATTACCTTACTACGTTTTGATTAGTCACTGTCCTAAGACTGCTTTATAGCCGAATGCGAAGAAAGAGCAATATGTTAGTACCTTAGTAAAGTGAGGAACAGAGCTTTAAAACAGTGACAAACAAGCAGATATAGAAAGGAATAGTTTTCCTGCTCACTCCAATAACCATTAAAAAGGTATAAAAAATCTTTTATTCAGATGTTTGAATTGCAACTCTTCGTATATTTTGGAAAGGGAGGGGAGGTTGAAAATTGCGATATTTCCCTATGCTCTAGCCGGTGGGTGGTGGGGGAGGGATCAGAATTAAACACAGCGTTCAATATAAAGGGAAGTCTTTTTTAAAGGACTCCTTTATTTCAAACTTTCACATATTCATTTGGCAATAATATATAATGATGGAACGACTTTCAAACTTGAATGAACGATTAGTTACAGTCGTCTTTCGAGCTATCTCGATCATTTCACGAAATTGTTTTTTTAAGAGATCAAGACTTTCTAAGATGCAATTAATAAGGCATGTTTATACAAAGGAGATTAATGATTTCTGCAGCCACCTTAACGAATCAAGTCATTAAAATGTCTAAGTCTATGTTTATTGACTTCTAAGGCATGTTTTTTTATATAATTCTCTTAGAAACGTCCCTTTACATGGTTCTTGTCTCTCTATCGTGTTCATCCTATAGGGATAAAGACGTTTGGCTAAAGTCACTTGACTTCTTCTTTGTTTTTCCTTTAAATAATGGTTTTTCAGTCATCGGAGTTATGCGCCTGGATTCGAGATTTGCCTGGGTGGTATACAATTTGCAAGCGGGTAGGAGAAACGTATGGAGTAAAGTATTTTCTCCCTCAAAAGCAGTGTCGTTGGACCTAGAATAGGGACTTTAAGATCCAACGACGCGGACGGTAACGTGAACGTCAAAAAAACAATAGGTTTTATTAGCAAAACAACAACTTTGCACGTGCACCACGCCTTTTTGTACATTTCTCTTCCCGTTTTTGCACGACCACGACGTCAACATGCCTAGATTTGCGTTTTATGAACGACGTAAACAAGCAACGACGAAATTTTATTTCTCTTTCTGTACTTGGATATGGTGCCTAGGAATTCAACGCCAGAAGGGTTCGCCTACATTTGACAAAGTAAGTGGGTAGGAACAATTGCGATAAAGATTGAAAGAACGTACCCTGGTCCCAGAGGTTTTTCTTGATTTTTCTTCGCGAAAGAGATCAAGAGCAAACCGCGAAGCGGCGACAACGAGTCGCGAAAGCGACGAGGAGAGACAGAAAAACCTCTGGTTACCTTGACCTCGAATCTCACTTCCATGCAGACGACAGGGTCAGGATCTGACCCTCCGGCGTTGATTGGTTGATATTTTTTCAAACACGCAAACCAATTTGATTGGCTCGTTTAATTGTAACTACCGAGGGGACGCTGAGGATTTTCACACCTCATTTTGCCTCTCTCTACTAGGGAAGAAAATTGTTTGTATGCTGCACTCGCAATAACATTTGCACGGGACCAAGGCACGTAGAGGCACGCCATGGATGTTGTTCCTGAAAGAATATTCGAAGAAATTTTGACCTCGGTACGTAATGAGCGCTTTCCCGAGTCTCACTGAGCAACAAAAGAAAGCTTTGTTCGCTGCGTTGAGTCGAAAGGATGTGTTCACCATTTTATCAACCGGACATGGAAAGTATATTTTCTGTTACAATACTGTCATTCCATTAAATAAACTAACTTGTTTAGGGCAGCAAAATAAAAAATCTCCGAATACGGAATGAAAGTTTCCTTGTAGGAAAAAAAACATACAACTTTGTACAAGTGCGTAATCATTTTCGGTGCAGCTTGATTTTCCTGCGACGCCCAAAAAAGATCTAACCGACGCTATTTTTGGCATAGACCTATTCGGCTAACTCAATGTTGTACCCAATTCAAATCTCCCGGGGATAAGATTCTTTGTGTATTGCATTTGCATTATAATGTGGCATTCACATTTAAATGATATGGAAATTCCTGAAACAAAACGTTTTATTCCCAAAGGGTTTGAATTGGGTACATTGAGTTAGCCGAATAGGTCTATTGGGCCAACAAAAACCTCTGAAAGTACATTCCGAACCTTAAGGGTTTGTTGTGCTGCATGACTCTTCCTAGCGTCGCTGTTCCACAAAAAAAGGAAATGGAGCAACCAAACCAAAATGCGAGCCAGATTGCCAGAATACATATTAATATTACTATTTTTAGGGGAATGCCCGCGAATCGACGCGAGCGGCGCGCCCCGCAGAAGTAAACAATGTAATAAGCGCGATTGATAGACTCTTGCAAACTTTACAACTTCCCGCTGGCACACTGCCGACAGAACAGATGACAATGTTTGTGAAAAATCCTTGTTATTATACCCAAATAAATTCTGCAAATCTTGCAGCATTCGCTTGGAACAATGTCGGTTTCTTTATAAAGTGGTCTTCTTATTCCTGGACCATTGTTAACACATGCTTTACCACCCAAGTGAAGATGGTTTGTTCATAACATAATTTCCCCAGGTCTACCCCCACTTAAAAAAATAGCGGCTGATAAGCACGTGTTTGCTAAGTTGCCATTGGTCACTTTTTATTAGCAATTTGACGCGTTTGACAGCTGTCGTCTGCATGGAAGTGAGATTCGAGGTCAAGGTAACCAGAGGTTTTTCTCTGTCTCCTCGTCGCTTACGCGACTCGTTGTCGCCGCTTCGCGGCTTGCTGTTGATCTCTTTCGCGAAGAAAAATCAAGAAAAACCTCTGGGACCAGGGTAGAAAGAACGCAAATTCACTTTTAAAGCGACGTTCTCATTGCCGTCGCGTCGTTGAATCTTCAAGTCCCGAGTATCGCATTTTCGCCGTCATTTTGTGAGAAGCGAAGGAGACTAATGTTGACCGGTTTTTGGGCCCCGATTTATCCTATAAATTCATCCGCGATAAACACTTTTTATTGCCTAAGGTTGACGAATTAGTCCCCTCCCCTTCTCACAAATCACGGCGAAAAAGCGTTATTCTATATCCAAAGACAATGCTTTTGAAGGAAAAACTACTTTACGCCATACAATTCTTTCTATCGACGTGCAGTGGTCACCAGAATCCTGTGCGCACAACATAGGTCTCCTATTAAGGGCAAAAATCATTCACTGATATGAATTGGGTCAACCTGCTGCTGTTTTTTATTGTGGTCGACAACCTGGATCCCATGCTCCCAGACGTCTGCCCCGTCGATCTCTTTCTCACGGGGCATGCGCAGGCCAATCACTTTATCAATCACATAGAGCTGAACAAATGTGGTAATTGAGGTCCAAAGGACAATGCTGACGGCGACGAGAACTTGTATTCCAAGGACTCTCCAACTGCCACCTTTAAATACTCCACGGCTTTTAGACATCAAAGGGTGCTCTTCGACTACGAGTCCTACCACTACAACACCCCAAAGGCCAGCGATACCGTGCGTGGAAATACAATGCACTGGATCGTCTATACGCATTCGCTCTAACAGAAGAACACCAAAGCATCCGATAGCGCCACCAATGAAACCGATCAGTAGGCTCTCCCATGGGGAGACAACTGGCGAAATGGCTGGATATGGAATAATAAACAGAAATCATGACTATATCGTTTCATTTGGAAATATTGTTAGCCCGGAATCTAGAGAAGGTGCCCAGCTTTTGAGGGATTAATTACGTGGAATTTTGTTGTAATATTGTCGCTTGAGCCATGTATAACTTCTTATATCACATTCAAATAGAATAAAAGAATAGGCCTTTTTCAAAATGTCGTGATACTCTTTGTTGTTTTTCCAATATTTTGCATTAGCCAATTGTTTTCAATTCCTCTTGGGGCGGTTGTAAGGCTGCGTGCAAACGGACGCAACAACTCCCAACATTGTTGCGCCAACAATGTTGGGAGTTGTTGCGTGCGTGTTGGCAGTGGTGTGCAAACGGATGCAACAACTCACAACAATGTTGGCACCTACAGTGTGTCGTGGGAAGGATACAACCCATAAGTCTTTATAAACCATGCGTAATGAGCGTTCGTGGCCCCAACAATGTTGGAAGAGCTGTGTAAACAGATCCAAAATTGTTGCGCTACGCTTTGGCGATCACGGAACAAAAAAAATATTGGGAGTTGTTGGCTGAAAAGTTTGACCGGTTTCAAACTTGGCTCAACAGCAAGCAACAACGTCCAGCAACATGCAACAGGGTGTGCAAACGGACGCAACATGTAACAACAATGTTGCGTCCGTTTGCACACAGCCTAAGTCCCAATTGAAGCTGAAAAACAATGCCTATGCAAAATTTTGGAGGTACAACAAAGAGTATCATGGCCTGATTTTGAAAAAGGCCTATTCTTTCATAAAAAAATAAGCAGGTAAAAAATCATGAACATTTTACTATCACCAGTAATGCTGACTAGTCCAGATAAAATTCCGGTTACAAATATGTCGATTATCAGCTTGTTCTTGTACTTTAAGTAACTGAAAAAAAAGACGCCTCAGGTTAGAATGATGATAAAACAGTCGACATTTGCCAGTGTTTACATAGGTTGGTCGTTTTATTTGTAGGCGAGGACAATGTATCTTTACACCAATAAGCCTTGACAAAGGCACAGTACTACGACAGAAGAAGAGCTTGAACTCCTCCCAGATAATTATACGTTTCTGGGAAACTGCCCACCTACTCCTCCCCTAAGCCAACATTTCAGTGCACAGAACAACGAGAAATTCAAACTATCACTGTAACCTGAGTTTCAACACAATTGCCCATTTTTTGTCTTTGTTTGTTCATCTATCTATTTATTTTTAAATGTGTAGGACTTATCATTTTTTTTTTTAAATTATATGTTTTGAATTTTTAGTTCTTGGCGTTTTTGCTGGGAAAAGTGATGTCTCCATTTTGCCACCTCTGCTTTTATTATTAGCGACCTTTACTGAGATTTGATCGGCATAACAAAGAGTTTCAATCTCGAGTAGTCTACGAGACTTTAGTAATTCCGTGCTGTAGTACGTGAGAAGTTATTAAATCAGGCACGCTAATTTAGTTTGGGAACTCGTATTTGATCTTAATTCAGTCGTACTCCAAAAATTATCCAGGCACGAAATGTGCTAGCCGTCGACTATCTAATCACAATCGAAAGGTTTCTTTGATAAAATCAAGGAAAATGTATTTTAAACTAATTCTAAGTTACCTGAATACTATTGCGAAGATTCCTCCCCCGGTTGCACCATTAAGAGTTACTACTGCAGCCCTGAAAAAAAGACGATGATTAAAAACCTTAAAATTCTTGAACATTAAGCGGAAAATCAACAGTGATTAATAGTTTCTTTTGGTCGGTGAGTATGTTTTAATGTCAGTGTGAATACGAATTTGTCTCACGCTGGTATCATTTTATAATTTGGAAGCTGGGTCATCACCGTCATGGGAGCCCTCTCACTCTCTTATGTTGATTATTTAACAATTAATGAATGAGGCTGAGTATCTTATGAAGAATTATGGAGATTGAGGAGGGTGTTATCCGTCAAGGCCGTGCCCTCCGATATCTCCATAATTCTTCATATTATACGAAAGCCTAATTCAATAATTGTTTTATTATTCAGTCAAAATAATTCCTAGTTTTAAAACATGCTTACCTCCATCGATCCATCGATGTTCAGTTCATCTTCGATAGTGCACGTTTAGGTTTGTCTCGCTCCGCAAATATTCTCCAAACAACAGATGTCGCCCTTCGAGTTGTCTTCTTGCTGTTCTTGCCATGTTTTTAGTTATTTTTTCGCCTAGTTCTTACTCTTGAAATGAGTGAAATGTCCGCAATTTTTCAAGTTCACAACCAAAACAACCCATCCTCGTCCCCAAGTCTTCTCGGTTAACGTGCCTTACCCTGCATGAACGCTGCATTTTTGACGTCATTTCCTCGTTAAACACAAAATTCGTCCAAATTTGCTCATCAGAAACTGGTTATGGTGAATTATGCGTGTGCTTTTAGCCAATCAGAATAGGGGAAATATTTTAAATGAATAATAAAGAAATATAGGTAGACCAGTGAATCCATACGTCTCGCTATCTTTACGTACACTGTCTTCAACGTCGGTTAAACACCTCTAGCAATCTTTTTATCTACTTAGAGATTTAGTTTGAAGTAAAAACACGGAAGGGATACCAGTTGTTTTTTCTTAAAACGACAAGTATCTTTTAATTGAAATTCTTCGCGCTGTTCCGAAACTTATTATCTAAACAATAAACAGTATTTGGAAAGTGACACTCGTGAAAAACGCAGTGCGCATGCGTGCCTTCCCTGCTTCCGGCGCGAATTTGCATGTGCCTCCCCCAATCGAAATTATACGCGATACCAAAACAAACTAGATTCCGGCCGCGAAATTCAAAAAAGTAAGCTCCACACACAAAAGATAAGCTTAAAATTTCACGAACACAAAGTTTAGATATTGCTTTAGTTTCTCTCTTTTGCACCGCATACTTTCCTCCTTGCACCAAAGGCGAAAATCATGTTTGAACGTCCACGCTCGCTCTGGCATCACTTCGCCGTAGCCATTGTTGCTGTTTTGGTCATCATGTCGCTGAGCTCGGTCAATGCGAACAACGAAAACGACCAATGCATGCTAAGTGGAAAAACAAGGACGGAAAAACCTTGTACTGGACGACTTTACCAGTTAGTTAAGTTAGTTTAAGTAATTTTTTGTTGTGCTTAATACTAGAACCGGCTGCAAACCATTAAACATATCAAACATTCCTAAGTGTTTTTCAATTTAAATGGGAAGATTTTGCAAATTTTAATTATTTAAAATAGAGACCTTGCGCATGCGCAGACGTTTTGCACGCGTGTCTTTGGAACGTATTTATAGCACACCGAAATTTATTCAAGCCAAAATGGCAACATTAGCCCAACGATCGTGATGAAAGGATATACAACATTATATACAGATTTAGCCATGGCTAAAAGCGAAGCTCTCGATAATATTTATATTTTGTTCAAACAAAATGCTAAGCGGCGAAGGCAACGCCAGAGAACGGTGAAAAAATAACAATAGGTCTAATTAGCAAAAAAGCAACTTTGCACGTGCAGCACACTTTTTTCGTAAATTTCTTTGCCGTTGTTTTGCACTACTATAACGTGAAACTTCCAGAAAGTTTTTCATGGAGGAAATGTCGTACGTGTTCTCGTTCACTTTTATTTTTCACTGCCGCTCATTTTCTCCCTGCATTGTTGGCCGCTAGCATTGTCACCCCCGCTTTTCATGTTATGTCTTTCTTTGTTTTCTTCTCTCTCTTTTTTTTATCTCTCGCTCTAGATCTCTGTCGCCCTTTTTCTCGTTGAGTTTCGCTGGCCTGCCGCTTTTTCTCTGTCTTTCTCTTGCTTTATATTCCAAATTTGTGGAAAAGACAATAAATCTAAAGAATACTTTAGAAAACAATAATGTAGAAACAATTTCCACTTTCCGGTTTCGTCTTTATTGACTCTATAGCTGCTTCTGCTTTAAAAGACGTGGGTGGCTATGCAATTTCCCGCCAAAATAACCTCGAGTTGCATTTGAGTTGCCATACCTGTTGATTGAGTTATTTAACATTGGTATGCCTGTGGTGCGGACGGACGGTCGGGCGTACGGTCACGTGATTACCAAATTTTCTCGGATAGGTAGATTACCACATTTTCTTATTCATGGTGCTCTGTGCGCGCGCTTCGCGCGCGAGAGCTACGCTATGATCGACTTTTAATTATGAGGGCTAGTTCCCACCAGCGACATAATGATTATAATCGTAGTCATAAGGGGTGTTTTTGTCGTAGTGGGAACGCCGAAAAACATAATCATAGAGATTTTTATGATCAACATCATGATAATCATAACAAAATGATCAGTCATTTTATGATTATGCTTATGTCGTAGTGAGAACGTAAAACCTTGCGCTCATATAGTCGTACTCATAATGAAAATTCAAAATATTTCCCCAATTCTGATTGGCTAAAAGCACACGTTTAATTCACCATAACCAGCTACTGATGACCAAATTTGGAAGAATTTTGACTTTAACGAGGAAATGACGTCAAAAATGCAGCGTTTTCGCAGGTTAAGGCACCGTTAACCGAGAAGACCTGGGGACGAGGTTGAGTTGTTTTGGTTGTGAGCTTAAAAAAATGGCAGACATTTCACTCGTTTCAAGAGTAAGAACTAGGCGAAAAAATAGCTAAAAACACGGCAAGAACAGCAAGAAGACAACTCGAAGGGCGACATCTGCTATTTGGAGAATATTTGCGGAGCTGGAAAAACCTAAACGTACACTATCTAAGATGAACTGAACATCGATGGATCGATGGAGGAAATCATGTTTTAGCTATGTTTTTAAACTTGGAATTATTTTGAATGAATAATAAAACAGTTATTGAATTCGCCTTTCGTATCAAATAAAGAATTATGGAGATCTCGGAGGGTATTATAACATCCTCCTCGATCTTCATAATTCTTCGTAAGATACTCAGCCTCATTCATTAACTGTTAAATAATAGTTCAATGAATTTTAGCCAATCAGCGTCTTAATTCCAGTAACTTGTACTTCATGCTGTTTCAAAATGGCGTGCGTTCAAGTTTGAGGAATTTTGTCTTGCAAGCCTCCAATACTGTACAATAAATCCCTGGCAGATTTTAAAGAACCAAAAAACAGGAAAAATGCATGTAATGACATAGCAGAAAACTGTAAAAGGAAAAAATGCTAACTATTGCTGCTATTCAGTAATGCCACTTTTAGAGCATCGAGTTCAAAGCAGAGAAAACAATTCACGTACAAGTCCCCGGCTTGTGCGTGTATGTCTCCACTTGATCATAACAACGTTATGACTATGATTATGATTTTGATTATGATCGTTATTTCTGTAATGGGATCCAAGCCTGTACATATAGTCTGAGGCTGAGATACGTTAAAGTTTCAAAAACTGCATGAAAATGGGCGGCGCCCTTCTCTAGAGATGACGTAGCCTAAAAAAAACAGCCTGCAACATTTCGCCTCGCCACCACTGGTTTCCCCGCGAAATGACACGTCCTAGAAACAAAACGCAGAAATTCTACACTGATGACACGTCAGTACCCAGATCTGGGTCGGCTTCTGAATGGTTGAATAATTGCTTCATCCAATCAAAAGCGCTACCCAGATCTGTGTAGTGACACGCCATCGGTATGGAATTTCCGCGCTCGGTACTCAGATGTCATTTCCCGGGGAAACCAGTGGTAGCTTCGCGAAATGTCGACTGTTTTCTCAGGCTAGAGATGACTTTACTGGGGAGTGGGTGGGGGTGGGGGGTGAGTTCCGATGGGTCTGTGTAAGTATGTTATAGATGACTTTACTTGGGGGTGATGGAAGGGGGGCGTTCCAAAGGGTCTTTCAAGACAGAACTTTAACAAGCAACTGTCACTAACCTGAGTAGAGGGAGACGGGGGGTTCTGCGCAGTGGTGGAGGTGGTGGAGTGACGTCACAATAGCTCAGGGGATTAAACTGATGAGATCATCATCTAAAAATAGAAAGGTATTCCGTCAAACAATCTAGGGAGTTGACGTCATCAGAAAAACGATGAGATCATCATCAAAATAATCATTTAATATGGTAACTGGTGAGATGACATCATCAGCTTAAATTAGAAAGGGTTTTTTGACATGATCAGCTATTTTCTATGGTCTATGACATCATTATTTATTTTCATCTTTTTAAGATCATATAAATGAAGGTTATTATTATTAATCATTATTATCATGCAAAACGAAAATGGTTATTATTCAGTCTTTCATAAGAATAAAGTTTAATCATTATATCGTATGATAGCGAGGACCATAGTTCCCCCCTCAAAAGAAATAACGTCTCTCAAGAAAACATTTTGCAACCTCTCAGGGTCAACAATTTCCAAGCTGAAAGAACTCCATTCTGAAGTATTTCTAAAAGTTACTTTGGGCAGACTCTTATTGTTCTTGAAATTTGCAGAGGATCTGGAACTGACGCAGGAAGAATGAGGACAATTATATGCTGTTATTTATATGCTGTTATTTATCCCACTTTAATATATCAAATCTGAGAGCAGTTATATAAGGCGATGATGTAGGCAGTAAAATCTTAAGACTGGAACATTGCGAAGTGATTAGAGCGATGAGTTGTTGTCCACCATCGACCACTTTTGGACATCGTTAGTCAGTTAATTATGCGAGTTCGCAAGCCCACCGTTGCATACAAATTAGTACAGCTCTGCAGGAAAAGCCCCAAGAGAGAACTTTCAAGTGACTTATTATCATAAAAACAATGAAAACATAAAATAACTTAACAAGGATCAATTGAAACACGCGACTTACAATTGCGAGCAATAAAGTTTTTTTTAAAAAAACTTTATTAAAAACCAATAACTAAAAGAGTCAAATACACAGCGATTTGAAAGGGAAAGGGATGAAAATTAATCCTTTGACTGACTATTACAAATTCGTTTTCTCCGTTCTACTGACGAGGAATAATAAATAATCCTTCCCTGTCTACGCAATTTTCCTATAGCCTCTAAGCGAAGAGTTCGACTTTCTTTGTTTCTTTCGGTTTGTCTTGTTCTTTGTAGTTGTTCTTTTAACTTTTGCTTTAAAAGAGGCTTTATTTGATCTTGAAAGTTCGTACACCGTTTCTTGTGTCTGTACTGGACTGCGAGTACTAGTTGAGTTATTTTTCCGGAATTATCCGCTTCACTTTCGTAAACGACAACTTTAACTTTAGGTTGCAGTTTCGCCTCTTGTAAATACTGTCTTCGCTGTATGTGGTCTAACTGATGAACATCCGCGAGATGGTTAGCTAATCTGACAAGGTACTTCGCCCCGCACCATGAAATCGGACAGTTTCTGCAAACTCTCTTGTAAACCATGTTCAAAAACCTGTTGACGGTTCGATGGATGAACACAAATGACTTCTATTTCGCAAATATTCAGGTTATACAGAGTATTAGAAAGGCCAAACACAGGCCCGAAAGGCCATAACCAGGCCAGAAAGGCCAAAACCAGGCCAAAAGAGACAAAAGGAGACAAACGGGCCATTTTCAGTCATGTGCCTTTTTTTCTCGTACACACGCGTGGGTGTCGCGCGTCGCTAGTCACGCAACAGCTTTCAATATTGGAATCATCATCTTTATTAAGTGTAATCACAAATAACAGTGCCTAATTAAAAAGTTTTGTTCTTCCTTTAGTAATTGGTATTTCAAATTTCAGATTTGCTATTTATTGCACAAGTTTACTGTTATTGGTATAATGATCAAGTCATCAATAGTTTGGTTGTTTACAGTTTTTATTGAAATGCAACAATACAAAGGTCCAGGGAATAAAAAATTTTGTAATTCATAGCCAGTCTAGTCTTGATATTCGTTTGGCCCTTTTTACCTTCGTTTGGCCTTTTTAGCCTTGCTTTGGCCCGTCTGATCTTCTCAATAACTGGTCGATGTAAGTTCGATTATTATTTAGCTTAGTAACCCCGCCTTCACCCATTTTCTATAAAAAAGACGCGTTACTTTCTGATGTTTGGTTTCCTATCAGAACGCGTGCGGTTCAAACCAAAAAGATGTGGAACAGTGACCTCCATTACAACCTTATTCAAAAAGGTGCTGGAAATTATGAAGACAGCGAAGAAAGCGCAGAAAGCGAAGTCTCTAGCCAAGGAACGGAGTCTTCCCAAGAAGAAACAGAAAGCTTAGAGCCTTGGTCACGGATATTTGATGAAGCCGAGAAACGCCATGAGACTCAGCTCAACGCATTGATCGGTGAGTACGAAGGGAACGGAGATTCAGAAAATGTGGCCCGCGTGAAAGCCGAGAACGCTCTTCTTCCTGTTTACAGAAAAGAGCTGAGAAAAGTACTCTTAGAGAATCTACAGTGGATGCGTGCAATGAAAAAGGATCCCACCTTCAAAAAAGTGATGGAAACTCAAAAAGAGCTTAAAGACACAGAAGGATTTGACTGGTTGGAATCGACAGAACTTGCTATCGATAAGCGAAAATTCTTACTAAATCGATTGTACCAAAAGCAGCCCATTCCAAAAGATCAAGACTAGACCTACTATGAATGTTACAGAATTTTTTATTTCCTGGACCTTTGTATTGTTGCATTTCAATAAAAACTGTAAACAACCAAACTATTGATGACTTGATCATTATACCAATAACAGTAAACTTGTGCAATAAATAGCAAATCTGAAATTTGAAATACCAATTACTAAAGGAAGAACAAAACTTTTTAATTAGGCACTGTTATTTGTGATTACACTTAATAAAGATGATGATTCCAATATTGAAAGCTGTTGCGTGACTAGCGACGCGCGATACCCACGTGTGTGTACGAGAAAAAAGGCACATGACTGAAAATGGCCCGTTTGTCTCCTTTTGTCTCTTTTGGCCTGGTTTTGGCCTTTCTGGCCTGGTTATGGCCTTTCGGGCCTGTGTTTGGCCTTTCTAATACTCTGTATAACCTGAATATTTGCGAAATAGAAGTCATTTGTGTTCAGCCATCGAACCGTCAACAGGTTTTTGAACATGGTTTACAAGAGAGTTTGCAGAAACTGTCCGATTTCATGGTGCGGGGCGAAGTACCTTGTCAGATTAGCTAACCATCTCGCGGATGTTCATCAGTTAGACCACATACAGCGAAGACAGTATTTACAAGAGGCGAAACTGCAACCTAAAGTTAAAGTTGTCGTTTACGAAAGTGAAGCGGATAATTCCGGAAAAAATAACTCAACTAGTACTCGCAGTCCAGTACAGACACAAGAAACGGTGTACGAACTTTCAAGATCAAATAAAGCCTCTTTTAAAGCAAAAGTTAAAAGAACAACTACAAAGAACAAGACAAACCGAAAGAAACAAAGAAAGTCGAACTCTTCGCTTAGAGGCTATAGGAAAATTGCGTAGACAGGGAAGGATTATTTATTATTCCTCGTCAGTAGAACGGAGAAAACGAATTTGTAATAGTCAGTCAAAGGATTAATTTTTATCCCTTTCCCTTTCAAATCGCTGTGTATTTGACTCTTTTAGTTATTGGTTTTTAATAAAGTTTTTTTAAAAAAAACTTTATTGCTCGCAATTGTAAGTCGCGTGTTTCAATTGATCCTTGTTAAGTTATTTTATGTTTTCATTGTTTTTATGATAATAAGTCACTTGAAAGTTCTCTCTTGGGGCTTTTCCTGCAGAGCTGTACTAATTTGTATGCAACGGTGGGCTTGCGAACTCGCATAATTAACTGACTAACGATGTCCAAAAGTGGTCGATGGTGGACAACAACTCATCGCTCTAATCACTTCGCAATGTTCCAGTCTTAAGATTTTACTGCCTACATCATCGCCTTATATAACTGCTCTCAGATTTGATATATTAAAGTGGGATAAATAACAGCATATAAATAACAGCATATAATTGTCCTCATTCTTCCTGCGTCAGTTCCAGATCCTCTGCAAATTTCAAGAACAATAAGAGTCTGCCCAAAGTAACTTTTAGAAATACTTCAGAATGGAGTTCTTTCAGCTTGGAAATTGTTGACCCTGAGAGGTTGCAAAATGTTTTCTTGAGAGACGTTATTTCTTTTGAGGGGGGAACTATGGTCCTCGCTATCATACGATATAATGATTAAACTTTATTCTTATGAAAGACTGAATAATAACCATTTTCGTTTTGCATGATAATAATGATTAATAATAATAACCTTCATTTATATGATCTTAAAAAGATGAAAATAAATAATGATGTCATAGACTATAGAAAATAGCTGATCATGTCAAAAAACCCTTTCTAATTTAAGCTGATGATGTCATCTCACCAGTTACCATATTAAATGATTATTTTGATGATGATCTCATCGTTTTTTTGATGACGTCAACTCCCTAGATTGTTAGACAGAATACCTTTCTATTTTTAGATGATGATCTCATCAGTTTAATCCCCTGAGCTATTGTGACGTCACTCCACCACCTCCACCACTGCGCAGAACCCCTCGTCTCCCTCTACTAACCTGGATGCCAATATCCATTTCCCTCCTGTTATCCCAAAGGTACTTCCACAATTGAACCCAAGCCACCCCCACCACAACATGAATGCTCCAAGCATAACATTAGTAGGCGATGCCATTGCTTTACTGGGGCGGTAGTTCTCATCGAACACTCCCAGTCGAGGTTTCAGGTAGATCGTTGCTACAAACCCGCTAAAGCCGCCTACTACATGAACCGGACCACAACCGGCGATATCCACAGCATTAAGCTCGTGCAACCAACCGTGAGGCTCCCAGATCCAATGTGCCGGAAGGGAATAGGAAATGGTGTTGAGAAATGAAAATAGAATATACGCTTTAAGTTCCACCCGCTCGGCCATGGCGCCGGAAACTATGGTTGTCGCTGTCGTGGCAAAGGAAAGATGGAAGAAATAATTGGCAAAGACTTTTCCCATCTCGTGGTCATCTGCGTCTGTCAAGAATTTACCAAACCCATTGAAAGCAGTCGTTCCCTGATCACGACCAAAGCTTAAACCTGCAAACGGCCGAGGCAAAACATTTTATGAAAACTGCATTTTCTGAGAGCTATTGAAGATGTAAACAAGTGAAATAAGGTAAGTGTATTTGCACCAAATGAAACGTAAGTTACACATATGAATCATAAACACAGTAGAGAATGTGATCTTTGACAGAAAGTATGTTTGGCTAAGTTTCTTATATGTTCTGTGAGCCACAAGAACAACAAAAAAAACTAACCGTATCCAAACAGCCAATAGGCAAAGCTCCCATAGACGACGTCCATAGCGTTTTTAACCATAATGTTGGTTTCATTTTTCTTTGACACCATACCTGCCTCAAGTAAGCCAAAACCAGACTGCATCGTGAAGATAATAAATGCTGACGTCAGAATCCACGTAGCATCATCAGAGTGAATTGCCTCAAATGCTATGAGCGTCGAATTTGTATGATTCATGTTCCCTAGAAATTAATGAACGCGATGACTGTCAGATTATTTTCTATATCTGCACGATAAATTATAATTACACTGAACAAAATCATCATGACCGCAGGAACTTATCGACCGGTGACGTAATGGTTTTTTTTTCAATATCAGGCATGAGGATATAGAGGTTTAAGCTTTGCCATGCAGATTTTAAAAAATACTGCTGGAGTGAGCGAGTTCAGTTAATATTTCAGAACTTAAGGGATGCTCATCAAGCCCCGCTAAGCAAATATAAAAAATTTTGGCTAAACTTCATTGCCGTTCAGCACCTGCCAATTGATAAGTATTTGCTTTACAAAGGCTCAGAGACAAAAAATTGAAGCTGTTTGATGTAGACATGGTGGGCAATGTTTAGTTTTGTGTCAGGATTTCATGAATAAATAAATTTTAAACTTAAAATAAAGATACTAAGACTAAACCAAGAACAACTAAGTTCAAGATTTTCATTATTCACCCTCGGTATCAAAAACCTCTAAACATTTCTTAGGTTTGAAGTCAATTTCTGGCATCCTTGTGTTGGTCAAAAATTTATCATTGATTAACGCTAATTCTCGGAACTTGCCTTCGACAGAATTCAAGTTATATATATTTTTCGGTAACATTTTAACAAAGTAGGAAGAAACGAGTTCACTAGTCTTTTGCTAGTCAAGCTTATAAACTCTTAAATTCTTATGTTGCTTAGTGTCAGTCATAGTGCCAAGGGGGTTATTTGTGCGACAAGGTATTTCAGTTAACACAAAACAAGCACATTTCGAATCGACCATTGGGCTAACATGAATATGAGATATATATGGCAATATTCAATGAGATATAATGGCTTTAGAACCATTATAATTTATACAGTTTTGGTTCTCTTTTTAACGAAAAATTCATGATCATCGATCAAGGCACCAAGTTACTTTCAAAAATATACTGTTCAACTGAAATGGTTCTATCAGTTTTCAGAATGTAGTGACAACAAAAAAAATAAATACATAAAATCTGTTCTTTGCCTTAGCCTATACCTCGGTTGATGTTAAGCACTGCCGGAGCAGAATTGATGTCTTGCGATGACGCTGCAGAATGAGTCCAAGTGGCAACTATGTATAATGCAAGAAACCTTTACGTTAAGGCTACTTTAGTATTTATTTATGCATTGAGGGTTACCAAAATTAATAAAGATGCAGTGAAAATAGTCATGATAAACTCCTGACATTTCATACTATATTTCCGTTTCTGATTGGCGTAAATTGCCCGTTTAATTCTTTATGGCCAGATAGCACTGACAAAATTTAAATGTTTGCTGTCTTTGGTTTTAATTATTACTGACCTGAATCGTAAACTGTTCGACTGAAAAGAGGACGCACAGTAAAGATGTCGCAAAAAGGAGCGGCACAATAGATGGAGAAAATGGCCCAGGATTTCATACATTAAAAGAAGAAGTTCGAAAAAACATGGCCGAATTGCGGCCTCAAAACCACTGCACTGAATACAAAAAACTACCACTCGACCGATAACAAGTTCTTTATTTTTTCTGACAAAAACATCTTTTAGAATAAACATCCCTTTATATTTTGAAACTGCCGAGTAAAAGGAAAATGCTTTAAATGATTAATAGTAATTATAATAATGATAATAATAATAATAATAATGATAATGATAATGATAATTGATGGTAGTAATAATCATTGGTGCCCTTGTAATATTCAGCAAAAGATTCCATCTGCCGTATCTTAAACGGAAAGCAGGACTTGACGGAAGTATGCAGCCCAAATAGCTTGTTTCAGAACTGGGAACGGCAAGAATTATGAGAAAGGTGATGGATACCTAAGGTGACGGGAGGTCACCTGGTACCAGGAAATGAACCGGTTGGAGGACCACGAAAACCGTGCGAACTGACAATAATAATAACAATTCGATTGACCTTGAAAATAGTTTCTTCTTTTTTTCAATGGAAATGAATTGTTTTAATTGAAATGAAATGTTCTTAATTTTAATAATTTTTGTTTAATGAAATGAATTTTTTTCTGATCAAAACTAAGGGTTTTTTTTAACGGAAGGAATTGTAAATAGTGTTTTGACGAAATAGTTTTTTTTTTAAGTGAAGTAATTGTAAATAGGATTTTAATAGTTAGCATTGTTATCAATAAAATATGTTTCATAGTTTAAAAAATTTAAAAATAATAATAATAATAATACTGATGATGATGATGATGATGATGGTGATGATGATGATGATGACAATAATGATGATTCTGATAACGATAATAACTGAAACCTTAAAGGATTTCCCCTACGTATGATATGAAGAATATCTGCATAACTCTTCATTCTATAAAAAAGACCGAATTCAATGTACACTTATACGTTTTGTTTTCTCATTTCAGACGATGTTATGTTACCCCATAGAACTGCTTTATTCTCGTCCTTGTGTCCATACTTTATGAAAAGACAAAAGCAAGATCCCTTGAGAGCATCAAGTCGTCTGCATTGGGAAAAACGTACAAGCTAAGAAGGTCTGTTATATTGTTTTACCAATATGGCCGACGTGACGTCATGCGAAAACGCTCTATAACCAAGGGTATTCCAAGTAGGAACTTCCAAGTTACTGGAGCCAATTACGCGCGAAAATTGCTATCCACTTATTTGGTAAATGCTAACAACCGTTAACCGCAAAGCTCCCTGTCCTTTTGGCAGTCTCCGCGGAAGGAAACTTATGCTGAATATACTGAAAATAAACCCAAAGCATTTATTTTTATTTTTTGTTCCAAAGACACCAAACGACTTCTTCCGTTTACATCTTCAGTTGTTCTATGTCGGCGCCCGAGATATTCGATCATTTTTTTTATACAGAGAACTGCGAAGAGTGATTCTAATTTGCCGCAAGGTAACGAAATCAGCCTTTTAGAACTTAACCTTTTCATTTTATCTTTCTTTTGTTCTCTCTTTGTACTTATCACCGTTCCTATTTTAAAATTTCGTACACGAACGTGAGGCTTTTCATTATCTGTCAGTGCGGTTTATGGTTCCGCACTGTTTTGGTGGAGTCACTCAATTGGAGTCTTTATAAAGCATTCTAAATTCAGAACAAAGCCGTTCACTGTTTTTCCAAAAAACCACAATTATTTTCCGGCCCCTCCTTGTCCCAGCAAGGAGACTGATTTCATAGTTTGAATACTCAGACATGCAAGAAGAAGTTTCTTTTCTTTCCTTTTTCTTAATTTCAGCCTGCCAGAGAAACGACTTAATATTAGTGAAGAGTTCCGTAAACTGTATGCATCCATCTTTAATAAAAACTTTCCTTGTCAGCGAAATTATTTGTTTCGATACTGATTGAAAAATTCCCAGTAATCCAAGTGTGAGAAAGACAAAATAATATTTTTTTCGACGGGATTTTAAATTAAGAATTGGAAGAAAACTCCTGTTAATCCACCTCGGCTCTTTTGAAGTATGTATTTTTTTTGTCTTGATTTATTATCAAATGTGATCTTAAAAGTTAAAGAGCTTTATCAAAGGATCAAGACGAAAGAATTGCGAAAGAACCATTAAAAATTTGACAAAAGAAATATAGAAAGTTGCCAAGTTAAAAAGATCAGTTTATCAAAAAAAGTGAAGAAATACCGAAAGGCAGTGATACAACAGCCATTCATTGGCAGTATTTAATGCTAATGTGACACTCCTTGTGTAGCGGTGGTGATCTATGACCGATTGGGATATGAAGTTTGTTCGTGTAATCCAAAGCCTTTTGAAATCCTGTACGCGTCAACAGTATCATATGTTTGGAGTTCAATTTTATCCCTGTCAGCTCAAGGTCATTAGAATTTTAAATTTTGTCCGTCGCCCTGTGGTGTTCAGTCTCTTAAGCAATCTGTCTAATTTGTTTGCTCAAGAATAAGAAGCTTTTCTGGACTACATATTTACGTTTGCGACGATATCGAGTTTCGACCACTCAATCCCTTGCGACTTTGTCTGCGCGAGAAATCCGTTTGGAGCCAGATGATTCCCACGGAAGGATTTTTACTTGAGATTCTTGAAGAATCGCCAAGAAGTAAAAGATGAAGGGGGCCATTTGCATCCTGGTTCTTTCTGTTTTTAACTTGGGTAAGTAACATTTGTTTCTTCAAGAGTCATGTCCTCGTCTAAGCTTGTGAATGATTGCGCCTATCATTGCCGGTACACATCTAGAGCATGTAGACGATGTGCAACCTTAATTGATTAACGTAAAAACGTTGCAAACAGTGGTTACCAAACTTTAAACTGCGTTTTCTTTGTCTTGAATCACAGCGTGTTTGACCACATCGCGCTGCTAACTCTTGCTTAATGCGCTCGGAATTTCAAACGCAAACATCAACTACAATGGACAATTTTTCTAAAAATACCGCTCTCGGCGTAGACTGAAGGTCAACCTTCAATTTCCACTACGGAAATGGGGCTTGAAGATGCTCTCTTGGGATAAATCCACCCTCTATGGGTTAGCTGAGTTCAATTAAGACTCTTCATCTGCCACTGCTGTTCTAAGGAAATGTTTATTGTTGGTACAAGATGGTCTCTGCGCATATATAGGCAGGCACACATGATGATCAGGCACCTTGATTTAAAAAACTAGCCCTCTCTGAGTAGAAAGGAAGGATTTCTTTTTTTGCAATGTGACAAGCTTGTGCATCGAAGTGCAAAAATAATCGAGTCGACAAATCTCTACTGTAAGACGCAGTGTTCACATGTAAATGCCGTTTAGCTGCAGCCTTCGCCCGATGGAGAGGGCTATTTGTTTTCATCTCGTTCAATATTTTACGTATGGCATGGACAAGAATTTTGGGTCTTTGCAGTCTTTGCATTCCGTGTAGACAAAACTGTCACCTGTATATACGACATACTGGTGACGTGAATGTCACACTTTCTTTCAATTCAATTCTCTCTTTGCTAAATCAATTTTTGCTTAGTTTTCGAATTGACTGATTTTAATCAACTACATCTTCAATTTTCTCGTTCGTTTTTCGTTAGCTCTATTTGAAACCTGCAGTTCAAGAATATTATTTTGGACAATAGTCAACATTGTTTCAAGTTTAAGTCAAAAGATCTCCAAAGCGGAAGGTTAATTTTAATCTTCCTAACAGCCTCTACTTTCCACTCAGGAAATAATGAAAAACGAACAATTTCCTATTATAAGAGTTCCAAAGGTAACAGCAGTGTCATTCTTCGTATGGATAACAAACATAAAGGCCCCGGTTTGTGATCGTGAAACCGATATCAAAACTGAGATTTCTTCTTGGAAATAGAATGGGTCTCTGAGTAGCACAACGGAGGAACTTCAGTGAAAAAAAGGGAAAATGGTAAGGAGTAGTCATGGTTTAAACAAGAATTTTCTGTTTACTCTGAAAGTTACTGCCAATTACAAGTTCTTCGGTTACCTCATTCGAAGAGAACTTTCGGGAAGGAAAAGATCTGCAATTGCCACCCCCCTAAACGAGAGAACCCTTCCTCCTCTCACTTACAGGGTATGTTACTAAAACCCCATACACTCTCTTTTTTTTATCTATAAGAATATATTTTATAAGAATATCGACGCCGAAATTTGCAAAATTTAAGAATATTTTAAGAATAAACCCGAGGCTGAGATTTCGAAAAGGATGATTATTTTGAGTGATGAAAATCTAAAAAAATTATATGTTTTTAACTTAACCGTATTCAAATTATTGCTTCCTCCTGCGGCAAAACTATCCAACAAAACGAAGAAACCTGCATTGGTTATAGTCAAATGTTCAGTGCTAATGACAGTTCGATGAACGGTACATGAAATTCTCTATAGTATTCAGCAAAAAAAAAAAATGAACAAACCTCAAAAAGGATATGATAAATTCTTTCTTTTTCAATAATAATTCAAGAATAATACAAGAATATTTTCAGGCTAAAATCGGCAGAAAAATAAAAATATTCAGCCTGGCCCGAAAAAACAACATCCTTATATATGTATATAAAAAAGAGTGTATTAGTACATGATCAAACAGACATCATACAGCTAAACACTATTATAATAACAGAATCTCTGTTTACCACATTAGGTCGAACTCAAACAACACTATTAAGAGGAGCTGCTCTTAGTGTCAGGTGTATCAGACCAGTTCTTAAGTGACGGATGAACTTACTCTGAGTTCTACACAAAGCTTTGCGTTTTCGAGCTTCATGTACAAATGACGTTACAAATCGGTTCATTTATTCATTTGCCTATTTACTTGTTTGTTTTTGAAACAAGAGACGTTCCTTTTTGGGACAATACAAACCAGGCATAGATTTCTACTGAAAGCATCCAAGATTTAAGACAATTGAAAATTGCTGTTAAATTGTTTTCACATGGTGTGCTGATCTTTTTGCCATAGTCATCAAAACATCATCACAGTAATATGCTATTCAGCTAAAATAATTGTTTTTGTTTTAGGCTAATCCAAGACAGCTTGGCGCCTTTTTTTTTCATGATGTGATTTTTGGGTGGTTAAATAGGGATTTTGCAGTTCCAAAAGCTGACATTTAACCTCTTATTTTCATTGGATATCGAGAGGTCATGAATTAATCACGGGGGATTCATTATTTTCCTAAATAATCAAAAGTGAGACGGCATATTAATATCGTAGTGTATCGTAGTAATGTACGGTCACTACCAACTAGGTATTAATCTCTCAGTCCAATTATATCTTCCCCTTTGGTGATGTAACTTAACCAACCCAGTTGATTCTTTAATAAAGGATCTTTTACAGAACCAAAAGGGAAAAATAACAAACAAAAATGTGGCAAGTAGGCGCAGCAAACACCCGATGGAGGGCTTTGCATATGAGGCCAGAGTGACGATGTTGATTCAGTTTCATTTGAGTGATAAACGTATTTAACAGTGGCCTTTTTCGTCTCTCCCGCGTTTCGCTAGACGAACTAAGAAAAACCAGTACCTGCTTGTAGTCTACTATATGTTGGTGTACCAAAAAATAGGAGATAACCCATAAAATCAGAGCTCATTTCTTGAGGGGTACACCAACATGTTCTTCCTTTCGACGCTATATGCATACGCCCTATTCAGTCCGCTTCAGGCCGTAGTTGGTCAAAAGCTGGATAACGCTATCCAGTTAACAAATCTCTGTCCAATAAATAACGCAATCGTTTTTCCTAATACTTATCCTCTGGATAATTATATAAAAGATTTATCGTGGTTAGCGCCGTCCAGCTTTTGTCCAACCGGGGATTTGCAGACGCATAAGGGCCAAAAATAAGATGAGGAAGAAACCTGCCTGAGTATGAGGCTCTGGTCCATAAGGAGAATAGAATATGCTACCTTCTTCTTTACCGGACAACTACATTGCCCGGACAAAACTAAACTTCTTCCTTGGTAGATTGGACTTAGATGCCCTGAATGCCTGTAAATGACCAAACGCTTCATCTAAAACTTTGCTGTGTCTTTAAAAGCTCCACACTTCGATGAACTTTTACGTTTTCGGACCTTTCCGGGCAATCTTTTAGCCGAGGTATAACTGTACACCAGCCGTATGGGATCAATTAACTAATCACCCGCTGTGTCTTTATGCCGCTCCGTATTTAGCTTCATGATCGAGTGTTCTATCAATTAAAAGTCTATCGATCAATTTTAACACATGACAAGAAGCCAAAATTCAGCCAGGCCAGCATGGGATCTACAAGTTCCACTGCAACCGAATCAAGAACTTAAAGACGACTTGTGCTTCGTTTTGAAACGGGGATCTCGCGCGCGCGAAGAGCGCGCAGCGGAGCACCATGGGTAATAAAATCTGGTTGTCTATGCATCCAATTTGTTTGTGACCAAATCGTCCGTACGTGCGTCCCATTCCTTCATGTAAGCTGGGGTGCAGTCCGGGCGTTTCGGCGGTGAATGCCATGGCCACCCGGACTTTAAGAGAGAAAAAAACAACAACAAAGCCGAGTGCTTCTTTCGACTGAATTTTAATGTTTTCATCAAAGTGGAAAACAGAGAAATAGCTAGAGCGAGAAATAAAAATCAACGGAGACCAATTTCGTTTGAAAAAAAATGTATAAATTTTATAGCAGCGGTGAGAATATGAGAAATGCCAGCGGCCACCAGGGTCAAATTGTCAAAATGACCGGCAGTGAAAAAAAAAGTGAACAGGAACACGTATACAACATTTCCTCCATAAAACGTGTAACTAGGAAGTTTCGCGTTGTAGTCGTGCAAAACAACGGTAAAGAAATGTACAAAAAGAGTGTGCTACCCGTGCAAAGTTGTTGTTTCTTTTTTTCTAATTTGACCCATAGCTGTTGTTTTTTACCGTTCTTGTTGTCTTCACCGTTTCTTTAGCATTACACCGTTTAAATTTTGTTTGAGTAAACTAATATCAAAGAGAGATTCGTTTTCAGCTTAAGCTAAATCATACACCGTTTCTGCCTGCGGGTACGGATGGGGGGAAATGTTTACCATGTAGCCTATAAAAAGTGACCATTATTTCCGATATGTGATCATGGCATCAACTTTCTAACGAGTACTAGCCAACCCTTTTTTCCGGGATAAGAGGCAAATTGCTAGTATTTTATTTTACGGCTACGCGTACGGGTAAATTACCCGTAACCGAATGTTCTCTCCTTAAAGGTCTCTATTATTTGCCGGTTTTGTCTGTTCAAAGCTTAGTCTAAACAGGAAGTTGTAAGGAAGCCTGTCAGACATGTATGTGGTCTCCTGGTGGCACTGATTTCACCGGTTTAAAAACTTTAGGTTAAGGGGTAGCAAACTCAGCTGGAAAGAAAATGGAATAAGAAACCTTTCTTTGAAAAGAGAGCAGATTTTAAAAAAACGCCGTGCCCATCCGGCTAACTGAGAAAACACGATATTGCTCTCTGCTCTTCGGGTTGTTTTGATAGCGTGCCTTTTTGTTAAAGAAAGAGTGTACAGAGGTAGTCTCGAGGTCATATCCGCCCCAAGGGGCGATTTCCTTCTGCAGTAATTATTAGTTACATAACTGCTTAGACCGTGAAACTCAAACACTGGTGCGCAATTTTCAAGCTCAATATGTTGGGGGTTTTGTAGGATGGTTTTATGAGATGGTTGCGTCTTCATCGTAAATTAGTAGCTGTTGAATGTCTTTTCTGTGACCATATCGATAAAAAGGCGAAAAGGTGCCATTTCTCTAGACAATATAATGTTTACTTTGCGTGGATTAAGGTGGCCCTATTTTTTCGTCAGAAGATGACATGATCGACCTTAAATGTTCCTGTTGTTGCCGTTGGACTACGGTAAATAATAGTGCTAAAGTAGATGTAGTAGCAGTGGTAGTGGTGGTGGTAGAAGTTGCAGTGGCAATAGTTAAGTGACAGTGGTGGAAGTAGTAGTAGTGGTGGTAGAAGGAGCAGTGGTAATGGTGATAGAAATTGCAGTGACAGTGGTGGTGGTAGTGGTAGTGGTGGTATAAGATGCAGTGGCAATGGTGGGTAGTGCTGGTGGTAGTGGCAGTGGGATAGAGGTGGTATTAGTAGTTCCCTCAGTTGTTGTCGTTGAAAGCGTGGTGGCCGACAGGTTGGCACCTCGCCGTCGCAATGTTTGCTTAGACAAGAAACTGACTTGTTTTGTATGGGAGGTCCAACCCTTTCTCCTTCTATATACCACGTTTGACAAACAAGGTATCCTTTTGGTATACTTCTGTTGAAAACTGATGTCCCTTGCATATATCTGCTAATCGTAGATCATCTTTTCATGAACAAATTAAACTGATACGGCCATCAGTTGCGTCGATATATTTTAATTCTAAGGCCTTTTAGATACCTAAATAGACCGCGAGCGGTTGTCCTTCTTTCCTAAGAGCCACGAGCGACTAACAAAAACGCGAGATTACTCCTCCTTTTTATATCAGAAGCCTGAAAAAGGCACACCTTTGGGGTGGAACTTCCACATATAGCGAGTACATCTCCCTGAAATCTTTTCCTCACTATGTTACTTTTTACCCAAGTGCTCTAGATGTTTGCTGGAGGTATACTGCTTGGGATAACGTAACGTAAGACTTTCTAAAAAGTCCTCCATTTAGTTTTTCCTGATTGTTTGTGCCATCTGAAAGGACTTTTTAAACCTGTTTGGCGCGAAATTCGAAAGTCCAAAATTTTACCGCTGACGACATGACAATTGACCAATAGGACAGTGAGTAATAGTTCACGCCGCTCTCAACATGGCATATGTCAGTCATCTTTTTTCCGCGTGAATATTTATAATATAATTCAAATCCATTCAAGTCGACCTCGAGACTTCGTCACTTGCTCGGTCGCTGCGCGACCTTATTAATTGAAGTTCGCTTCGCTCACTTTTAAGAACGTATGAAAGGCCGACTTCTAGCAAGTCTAAACGTCAGCTTGTAATAGACGAACATTCCATCCGGGAGGGGAGTATAGCTATACCCCTAGGTGCCTCATGCTGCGGAAACCGGGATAGCATCGGAACTGATTAGCCACTTGCCTATTATACAGTCTTTACCTTTTTTTTCAGTTGTTGTCAGCGAAATAACAGTAGCAGTTGTTGTAGTACATTAGCACCAAGTGTTTTTCTTCAATGTGGTGGGAGGTTTTGTCTGCCTTATTGGCCCTGGAAACAATACCAATTGGGACCTTGGTCCCTGGTGGGTTCAACCGCGCTGGGAAGGTTTTGGGTGAAAGGCAAGACAAATTGTAACGCTTGGCCAGGTCGGGAGTAGGGCGATTAGTTTATGTCCCATCCCCTAACAAATATAATAACAGAAAGCAGACACACTCTTCAAGTAGTAGTGGCGGATGAGAATTGTGGTGCTCATATTATGCGTAGGGCGAAGAGGCAAGGTAGCTAAGGTATACCAGTAGAAGAGATAGTAATGATGGACCGTTTATTGAATTACTCTTTAAGGCTGATTGGTCTGATACTTGTTTCAACAGTGAAAAGATCCTCTGCAGATTGCTCGAAAAACAACACCTTAGACGAAAATGATAGAATCGAGTTCAAAACACTGGCGGGCAATCTTACCAGTCCTGGGTACCCTGCTTATTTTAAGGACACCATTCAATGCACATGGCACATATACGTCAATATGAGACATTCTATTGAACTGGAATTCGAATTCTTCGATTTTGGACACATAGAGGCGTGCTCCTCAAAAGAAACTGAGAGTCAGTTTATTGAAGTTCGTGACGGCGCTCGCGGCGACAGTGAACCGCTGGGAAGATTCTGCGGTAAAACAAGACCTCAGAAGCTCTCTTCTAGTGGCAGCGAAATGTGGATCAGGCTTAAAACAAATGGATACAGGTCAATCAAATTTAAGGCAACGTACAAGGCTGTAAGAGGTAAGACTGGTTGATATAAATACTGAGTAGGGATTAACAATTGCAGGTATAATGCTACGAGCAGATAGTTTAAGTTTAAGTTTAATGATACTTTGTCATGCTAATACAAGTAAATAAATAATATTACAGAAAATACAAAAAGTGCATGACTGGAGAATAATTGGGGGAAACTAAATTCCCATACAAAGAATATCATCCGATATTAAACATACTAAAAATTAAGAAGTAAAATTTAAATGCGGCCCAAAACTAACCTGATTAAATTGCATACTTGTCACTCATGAGTTACACCTGATTTAAAATTGACACAAATGATCCAATAGATACGACTTAACACTGCTTAATGAAGGTGCGTGCATAATGTTCGATGGAATACTATTCCAGTCTGTTTTGTAACGATTGAAAAATGAAAATTTAAAGTAATTTGTACATCTCTTCTTAGGTCTTATCTTAAAATTATGGTTCCTACGCGTTTTCGCTAATACACTATGTTAAAATAGAAAAAACATGTGAGGATGCATGCTGAGCAGTAGACACCATTTGAGAATCGATGTACTGACGTACACTTTTTGCTGATCACAGTCCCCTTCATTGGGTCAATTAATAGCCTCTAGAGGACTTCACGGGATTCCTATAATCACAAGTCTAAGGTCTTAGGTCTTACAGTCATACGAAAATGATTTGAAACTGTTTGCTCGCAGTAAGAGTGTTACGATTTATATTTAAGTCATGCGATGGCACCGCTGTCCATTTTGGCTAAAAATCATCCCGACAAACAAAAAATCGAGATTGTAACGCCTGAATAGCGACAGGACACCCAAGGAAGCACAGGATACCCAAATATTGCTGTTGTGCTGATCTCCTGGGGGCCGCAGCAACAATAATTTACAGGATCATGGTAATCAAGTTACTTTCTAATGAGCCACGTTGCCAATAAGATCTAATAACCACCCAGGTTTTATAAATCTCAAGTGACGTCTAACGTCTGATCAGTAATCCTTTTAAACTCTTTATTTTTACGGCAGACGTTATTTAACAATTATTGGACGAGGCTGAGCAAAATGTCGTGATTTGTCAGTGGCGAGCAGATCGATTCCTTGCCGAAGCCGCAGGCTGAGGCAAATAATTGATCTGCGAGATCAACAATCTAGTTGAATAATTGTTTTATCTTTCGATGACCGCGTTTGGTTTTTAACGAATACCTTCGGGAAGGGAAGCGATCTGCCATTCCCATAAAGAGCAATCACAAGAAGGAGAAAAGTATGGTTTCATTTACGCATGAGCAGAATATTATTTCCAGCCAAACACAGTCGGAGGCCATTGTGCATGAGCAGGCTATTACTTGTAGACTGTTATTTGCTGGTCACGTGGTGGGCTCTCGGCCAATGAAAAGGGCGAAATATTAGCATCGAATGATAAAATGTGTTATGCATTTGGCCAGGAGCCGATAACTGAACTGGCTCAGCCGGTCATCTCGGTAATCGGTTTACTAGATTTCTAGCTGAAACGATTGATTGCAATCTTTTTTAGAAGGAAACTCTTATAAATGGCTGCTATCGTTGATTTTAATTAAAATTTATATCTATGCTGATAGTAATTGTAATAAAACATTTCGCGGCTTGTGGCAGTCCTTGTACAGCAGCCCCCTTTTTGGGGGAGGGGCGACTGTACACAGGTTGTGTACTTAGCAGCAGCATTCGACGGGTTTTGAAAAAAAGGGCCAAGAATTCATTTCTCGTGACTATAGCAACCAATTGTCACGAAACAAGCAACCTAGGAGAAGTGATGAAATCCATTTTGATTCATTAACTTAAAACTAATTTAGCATTTATGTACTTTTTCCATGACAGATTCTCCATCCACTTTGCTTGTGGTAGCCGGTGTGTCAACTATCGTTGGTCTAATGATGACTTTATTATTATTGACACTCTACCTGAAAAGAAAGCGAAGAAATTCGGATGAAGAAAACACTTCTCTCGCTGGATCTCAGAACCAAGAGAGCGAACAGAACTGCACTGCTTGCGGTACATCCAGAATACCGTGTGAAAACATTTCGTTCACTTCAGTGGCAGCTGAAAACTCGGCTGGGCGGAAGGAGTCACTTTCCGAGCATGAACTTGTGATTAGTAGTCGAGGAAAAGAAAAAACACGAACACAGTCACTTGGGGCCTACGCGCAAGAAAATCTAGCACCTGTTGTAGAATAACCGATGGGTGAACGTAACGGAAATTCACGAGAAAAATAAAGAACTCTTTGGAAAGCGGTTGTGAGCGAAAACAATATTGAAACATTGTTGTGACAATTCAGAACTATGTCGCAAGAGTGTTGCAATGCTATGTTGCGAATCCTCCCTTGTAAAACAAGGGCGACTGTTTCCTTTTAAACAGACCTACGTAACCTCGCGTCATTTAAAATACAGGGCAGCCAATTGCTCTGTTCTTCAAAATAGCTGTTCTTCAGGCAGATGTTTGCTTGCTGGGAGATTTGGAAAAAATAATATGTCCTTAGAAGAAAAGTGTTGCTTGGAAATAGAAAATTCTGTGTGTGTAACGGGATTTGCAGAGTCTAAAACCAATATCTACACTTGTTAAAGTTGCAAACGTTTTATTACTAGGGCCGACTATTTGACTTTTGAGGCGGGGGGGGGGGGGGGGGCATGGGTGATTAGGTTTGTTTAAGAATATTTTGCCCCAAGCCTCTGGTGATAGAACTTTGTATGGGCTACTGGCCATGAACTATATTTTTTTAAGAGTAGGGATTTTTTTCGCCAGGTATTTCCTCGCAAGAATTTTTTTCCCTTCGAAATCAGTCTTCACTTGGTCTGCAGGATATTTTTTGAGGAAATCACCCATACCCCACCCTCCCCTTCACCCCGCCTCAATAGGCCTCCTTGGCCCCAAGCGAAGCCAACCTCATCCCCAGGGCCGTATTGGAAAGCGAGAAGACCCTGGGGACGAGCTTGAGGATTAGAAGAGCATATTTACAGGCCCAGCAGCCTTTGCGATAGTGCATATAGTCGGCCATTAGTGTTCCAAGTGTGTGCGGGAGATGAATTCAAAATACGAAAATTTACTCACTAATGAGAAGGTTGGTTTTGTTCTATTTATGCTGTTCGAGTACATGAAACAGAATAAATACAGAAAACTGAATTGATTACTTTTATTATCAGCAGAATTGGAGGGAAATGTTATCACGAAGATTCCTATGCATGTGTTCCAGCAGGGGTATTACTAAAAGTAACGCAGTAACGAGTAACGGAGTAACGAGAAAACGAGTAAAGGGATAAAAATTCAAGAGATTAAAAAAAATAATGAATAAATCCTAATGAAAGAAAAAGCATAAAAATGGTTGTACTATCCTAACAATGACCTTTACCAATCTCGAAAAATATGTGTTTTCCAAAAAATGCTTGAAACAACGACGTCAATTCCCCCCCCCCCTTCCTTGCCCCTCCCTCCAGCAAAGTTGAGGGTATTTTGGTGCCGAAAAAGTCACTTGGCTACGGACCAATGAAATAAGAGGTTTCGATGGGTGTAGCTCACAGCCACGAGGGGAGCGAGGAGCAACCATAGAGGAAGGTGAGGTATAGATTTTCTTTCTTACTGCCACAATTATTTCATTTCTTAGTAGAAGTAGCTCTGTCAGGTAAATAAAAAGATAGAACCTTGTTGGGCCTTAATTACGGTTATCAACTAACCAAGTACTCGATTGCCAAGGCTTAGAAACAGTTTGCTCACTTATTTCTCACGGGGTTATGAACCCTTCCTGCTCAACTTTCAGTGTCTTTTAACTCCTCTCGAAAATACGGGATTGGACTTAATACTGCCTTCCAAAAGTTAATTATAGTGAACGTCAGGCTACCGGTTTAAAAGGGATTGTAACTCATGTTTAAAAATAACTTCCCGATGTAAAGACTCTGAAATTTGAATTTTGGTGGCAAAATAAAATAGATCGATTTTCAACTAATGTAAAGTAAAGTAAACAAACATTCAAATGGATTGGTTTGCTCGAAGTTGCGTTTAACATCAATAAATGCAGAATAATCTAAACATAGTTACTGTCAGGGCATGAAATTAACTATTTTTTGTAGCATTCACTTGGCTACTTAATATTTCAAAGTGGTAGCCAATTCAATTAAGTCGAGTAAGTCCTGCGTCTCCAGAAAAAAAGGATATAAACAAAACAAAACAAGAAGAAACAGAACAAACAAGGAAAAAGGTCCGGTTTACTAAGATGATATTTTAGGGCTGAGATCCTCCAAATTTACAAGTTTTGAACCCAAATGTTTCTAGCAATTAATCAAAGTAGGCAAAGAGGACCCCTACATATCTACTTGAAAAATGAACCAAGATGGCGTTCGCCAGCGACAGAGTTTCCTAGTGAAATATGTGTGCCGTTTTGCATGATCACACATTGATGCCATTGGTGCCTGTGTTAGTTGCAATTTCACGCCCTGATAAAATGCAATTACATGAACTCATTTTGACCAAAATTTTAATTTGTTAAGCCTGGGATGGCTTAAAGGCAGCTACGCCCCTTTCAGCGCTGAATTCTGTCATGGACTTTTCCGCTTCTTCTAGACTTGCTTTGACGATCAATCTCTTATATTAGGACCTAGCATTAAGTGCTGAAGTGGCACTTGCAGACGGCTTTTAACATCCTGCGACTACGAAGATGGACCTGCATCTGGCATAAGAAATAAGTTCCTTAATCTTCTTACAAAATTTAATTAAGCAATTACTGTTAGTTATCACAATCGTTCACACTGTAACCTTGAAACTGTAACCTTGATGGGTAATCCCATACCTTGTCTAAAAAAGAATGCGTCACAAAACAATTTAACGTTCTGTTTCTTTTCTTCATGATCTCAATAAGCACAACGTATACCGCGGGATGAAACTAACCATGTCGATGTTGGTACTAATGCTACTAGAAACACTTGTGAAGTCAAAACCACAACGACAAACCAGTGAGGGTCCACTGGATCTTTAGTAGACCTGGATCAGTAAAATCTTGAAAACCAAATTTTAAACTGAAAACAGTAAACTGATCCTTACGGCAGGAGGAGTGATAGAAAAAATAAAGAAAAAAAAACAAAAATAAAGAGGTGAATTATCTGCCCTATATTTCAGTTTGCAACACAAACCTCCAACGGGGGCTATAAAAGAAAAATGAATACAGATAAAAGATCGATGAACGTTACATACGCGAGATTTGAATACATAGCAAACAGAAAATGATAGGCTACTAAAAAGGTAAATGTCACTAATTAAGTTCATCACGTCTATTTATACCCTGAGGTTCTAAAGTCATAGCTTTGCCAATGAGGTGAGCCTCGCGTGCCTTTCTGACAGAGTCACGGTTGCTATGGATTAGTTCTAGGGGAATAAGAAGGACGTCGTTGATAGAGTGATCGGCTTGATTAAAATGTTCTGAGACAGGAGTAGGATTAGAAGTGGCCATAGTTGAGAATGGAGCGGCGATACTCCCCAAAGCGTTGGTGGAGATGGCGCTTGGTCTCCCCAATGTACTGTTTGCCGCATTTTTTGCATTCAATGAGATAGATAATTAAAAGGTTTTTGGATTTACAGTTTAAGGGGTCATGTATACGTCGTTTCTCTTTGTTGGAGGTGAAGGTGTAGTTGGCTTGGCCTTGTTTTAAAAACGGACAGGTAAGGCAGCGTGGATGATTGCATTTTGAAACGCCGGGAGATGGTTTTTCTTGTTGTATGCTATAATCACGTAAAGCGCTTCTAACAAGTAAGTCACGAAGGCTGGGACTCCTTTTATAAGCAACGATTGGTGGAGACGGAAATATTTGTTTGCAGCGATTGGATGATTGAAGAATGTTTATATTCTTCCAGACAGCGGTGGAAACGTTAGGAAGAGCTGGATTGTATGTGATGACAAAGGGAGTTTGGTTTGAGTTGTTCTTCTGTGTTTTTGGTTTAAAAGTTTCTTGACGAGGGATGATACGCGTCCGGTTAATTTCTTTTTTAAGAAAGTGGCGGCTGTATCCTCGTAGTTTCAGAAAGTTTATAAGCTCATTGCAACGGTAGTACTACCTGGGTACTACTCATGGACAGTGACTTAAAACCAGTATATGCAGTTTTGTTCAGTGTACATAAAAATGATTTGTGACAATTATTCAGAAACTCGGCACTTTTAAAATAGTCTTCCCGATCATCCTGGGCTTTAGAAGATAGCCTTTTAAGGTGAACAATAAACGGAACGTTTTGTTACTCTACCTGTGGATAGGCATATTCACTGAATTGCAATAACAGCCGTAGCTAGGTGACTTTTTCGGCGCGAAAATGCCTTCGACTTTGATGAAGGGAGGGGTTTGGGGCTTATTTTGCTTCAAAATAAACCTAGAAGAAGTGTTTGCTAGTGTTCTAGTTCGATAGAAATACTTTCCAGATTATAAAAATATCGACTTTTTAAGAACGCTACTTTTACCATTTTTCCAATGGGGTTAACCTATGATTTCTGTCAAACAATTAACATTTTTTCTCTTTGTTTTTCGGCAAAAAAAAAACCTAGATAAAATTATTTGCTAATGTTATAGATCGATAGAAAAGCTTCCCAGGCTATAAAATTATCGACTTTAAAAAAACGCTATTTTGGGGATTTGGGATTTTTTTTTCGTCAAAATTTCAAATTATTATTTTTTCTTTCTTTCTCGTCGAAAGGCTTTCCAGGCTATAAAAATACCGACGTTTAAAAAATAATACTTTTGCTCCAAAGGCCTTAACCCATGATTTTTGTCAAAAATGTGAAATTTTTTTTCTTCCCTGTCTTTCCTCAAAATAAACCTGGAAAGAGGGTTTGCTAATATTCTAGATCGATAGAAAACCATTCCAGGCTATAGGAATATCGACTTTTAAAAAGCGCTATTTTTGGCATTTTTTTAAACGGATTAACTCATGAATTTTGTCGAAAATTTGAATTTTTTTCGTCTTTGTTTTTTGTCGAAAAAAGCTAGAAAGTCTTTGCTAATATTTTAGATCGATAGAAAAGGTTTTCCGCCTATAAAAATATCGACTGTTAAACAACGCTTTTTCCGGCATTTTTCCAAAGGGTTAATCCATGATTTTTGTCAAAAACTTATAATTTTTTTCTTTTTGGTTTTTCTTCAAAATAAACCCACGAAAAGTATTTGCTAATGTTCTAAATCGATAAAAAAGCTTTCCAGGTTATAAAAATGTCGACATTTTTCATGGCATTTTTCCAAAGGGGTTAACCCATGATTTTTCTTTAAAATTTAGAATGTTTTCTTTCCCTGTCTCTCGTCAAAAGAAACCAAGAAAAAGTGTTTGGTACTGTTTTAGATCGTTAAAAAGCCTTCAAGGCTATAAAAGTATCATCTTTTTAAAAACGCTATTTTTGGCATTTTCCAGAGGGGTTAACCCATGATTTTTGTCAAAAAGTTTCAATTATTTCCTTTATTTTGTTGAAATAAACCTAGAAAAAGTATTTGCTAATGTCCTAGATGGACAGAAAAGGTTTCTAGGCTATAGAAATATTGTGTTTTAAAAACGCTATATTTGGCAGTTTTTCTAAGCGGTTATCCCATTTTTTCAAAAAAAATTGAAATTTTTTTTTTCGTTAAAACAAAACTAGAAGAAGGGTAAGCCAATGTTCTAGATCAATAGAAACGCCTATAAAAATATGGGCTTTTGAAAAACGCTATTTTTAGCATTTTCCAAAGGAGATTTCCATGACTTTTGTCAAAAATTTTAAATTTTTTCATTCTTTCGTTTTCGTCAAAGTAAACCTAGAAGAACTGTTTGCTAAAGTTCTAGATCGATAGAAAAGCTTTTCAGGCTATAAAAATATCGACTTTTAAAAAACGCTATTTTTGGCATTTTTCTAAAGAGGTTAACCCATGATTTTTCTCAGAAATGTGAAATTTTCCCCTTCTTTCTCTTTCGTAAAAACAAACCTAGAAAAAGTGTTTGCTAATGATTTAGATTGAAAGAAAAGCTTTCCAGGACATAAAAATATCGACTTTTAAAAAACCGTATTTTTGGAATTTTTCCAAAGGGGTTAACACATGACTGATTTTCGTCAAAAATTTAAACCTTTTCCTTCTTTGTTTTTCAACAAAACAAACGTAGAAAAAGTGTTGCTAATATTCTAGATTGATTTTGTCAATAATTTGAAATTTTTTCTCTATCAAATTAAACCTAGAAAAAGTGTTTGCCAATGTTCTAGATCAATAGAAAAGCTTTTCAGGCTATAAAAAAATCGAGTGTTAAAAATCGCTATTTTTGGCTTTTTTTTTTTTTTTAAATGGGCTTTTATCCCTTTTTCTTTTTGTTTTTTGTCAAAAAAACCTAGAAAAAGTTTTGCTTCTTTGTTTTTTGTCAAAATAAACTTAAGGAAAAACAATTAACTTTACTGACAGGTAAGTTCAAATTCACAAGGTCTTCCGCATAGAAAGAGTTGTACTTCCCTACAAAGATCTTGAAACCGGAAGGACGCAGTTGATGTGAACACTTTCCTCCACCCCCACTTGAGAAAATGAGAATTTTATTATTGCTATCATTATCACTATCATTATAATTATTAAAATTGTTATTGCTATTATTATTATTATCATTATTTTTGTTGTTGTTGTTGTCGGTGATAATACTTATTATGGGGTTACTTGTCCTCCGGCCGTTCATTTCAAGTTTATTACAAAGTGTTACAAGTGTTATTACGAAGTGCGACAGAACAAGGTGTCCGTCTTAAAAAGATTCACAGAAAGTGACTGTTGAGCGGCAGGAAGGTGTCCGTGTGGCATCAGCTCCTGTGTCGCATGGATTCCAAATAACAGACAAATAACATTCAGAGGAAATTATAATCGCAAACAAACTCGAGCAATATCACCCTATCGAAGTACAACTTCGTATTTACTGGAATAAGCGCCACCGATTAAGCCAAAAAAACGGCGCATTTGAGTCAAAAGAGTTATTAACCCTACCCCTAAATAAGCGTGGCGGTCAAGGTTCTGGCTCAGTTTAATTCCGTTAATTTATTACGGAAAATAATAATACCCGATGAAAACAAGTATCCTTGGCTAACTTTTAAATAAGCGCACCCTCGGCGAAACAAGCACCGCATTTCAAACCGCGTAAAAAATTTAATAACTGCCATGGCACTTCTTTCAATAAACACGTTATAACACAGAGGGTAAAAATAAAAATGACTGAAATGACCGGATCTAAAAAAAAATATATGACTTTGTAGGATCAAATTACTGGTTTAAAAGCTGTTCCTTACAACTGACATGCGTCTTCTTTTAGTTTGCCTCAGTTGCCAAGTCAAAATGATAAGGAAAAAAAATTAAAGGTCCTTTACCGTTATTGACATCACTAACTCGCAATTTTAAGTAAAGCTGAAGAAAAAGACGAAAACAAAAAGAAAGAAGAAAAAAAACATCAGGGAATGAGCCAGCGCGAACTATTCCCTACCTTTGTTTTCTATTACAGCCCAATCCGGAGTCCATCTGTTTCAGTCTTTTTTGTCAAAACAATCCCGCTTAAAGTTTATCCCATTTATTCCTGTTTTTTTTAGTAGATAAGAGCGACAAAGTCACAGAATAGTTCGCAGAAAATTAGAAAGTCTATGTTTTTTTAGCAGCAAACTCATGCACCAACCCGGGCCCTATATTTCGGCAAAGAGCGAGGAGGCCGCGCATTGTGGACGATTTGGGGCACTGGGAACTAAAAAGCAAACAGACAATGATGGCGCGCGGAAGGCATGGTTGGTTTTTCTCTCGTTTTTCATCTATTTTTCAAGGTTAGTAGCGATTATAGGTGGATCATACAGTAAGAACCATAAAAGGTATCGTTTTAAGAAGTGTCAGAAGTGCTTGTGGTAATGGTTTACTTTACATTTGCCATTTGGTGAGTCTGTAAGGCTTAAAGCTTATGTGGAACTCTTTCAATAATTCAATCCCCCCCCCTTCTTTAATTATAAGTCTCAACGCTTTGAATTTAAGGGGATTTCGTTGCATATCAAATGGTGTTTAAAGGCTCTATTTGCAAATTGGCTCAATAAAATTCTAAAAATTAGAAGTGTTACATGTACAGTGAATGTAGCAAATATTTTATTTGTTTGCTTAGTAGCCCGGCCTCTTGCGTTTTTCGGGGAAGAGGTCGATGAAAACAACCTTATTCAATGACTACAGGTACAACAACAGGAATTTTACTGGTGATTTCAATTTCTGTTTTTTCAATTGGTTTGTGATTTTTTCAACTGGGTCAATTTTTTACAGATACTGGTAGGTAAACTTTCTTAGGGGTTAATTACAGGGACTGTGTCTAAAGCAAAGAGCTGCTTCGTTGAGCCTCTAAATAAAGGGCAAGTAAGAGATGGGCAGATGGGGAGGAAGGACCAAAAGGCAGGCAACTTTCTTGTGAAATGGACATTGTAGTCTTTTGTGGACTTTGTCTTATTTTTCTTTTATTTATTTATTTATTTTTTCCTTTTGTTAAAATTGTTGTCTGCTTGAATGTAAAGGAAAATTAGTGACTGATAATTAGACTTAATTTTACTAGATTCTAACTGTTTGTAGAGAATTTTTAAAAAAAAATCTAAAGCAAAGAGCGGCTTCATTGGGGGTTCATTGGGCCTCTTGTCCAGCCATTAGTGGGACACAACTTCATAAGCAATGCCTCCCCTCCAAAAATGAGGAGAACCCTTTCTTATTTTTTAAAGGAGAATACCATGGGGCTCGATAAACTCAATAAACTTAACTTCGTCCCAAATCTTGCCTGCGAGCACGCTCTCCAATTTTGATGAGGCCAGAAGTGAGCTGCGAGAGAACACAAGAGCAAGTGGCAAAGCCACGCATGCGGCCCTGTGGAATAACTCCCCCAAATGGAAAGCTTGCTTGCAAACTATTCCAAATCAAACAATTTCTACCTGAATCATCGGTCT